AGTTTGAATTAGGGACCTAGCTGGTGACCTTGATGGAGCTTCTACCAGCAATTAGTAGTGCAAACTAACCAAAGCAGCTGACAGATGTCTTTTAAGACCATTTCCCGCAAATTTTAAAGATATTTTAGTTACATTCTTAAAAAGTTTTTATTGGGCAGGCGTGCTGCTACCTTTTATTCCTGGGAAAGAATGCAACTTTTCTCTGATCCAATATTGCTGAAAATTTTCTGGTCATTAGTATTCTGGGGTGAGTATTTGAAGATACTGATAACATGGCAGCACGCAGCTCGCCTGGAAGTTTTCAAACAGTAATTCTTTAGTGTGCTTCAGAAGTACCTTTTTTAAAAAATTTGGCCCCAAAAGAGGTTCCTGGTTACGGTAGATATGAATGTACAGTCAGTATCCAAAAGGAGTTCTGCTGATGCCAAAGCCGCTTTTAAAGATCCAGCGGAGAGGTCTTGCAGAACAGCTTAGCATCTGCAATGCGGTCGGTTGCATCATGCTTTTTCAATAATCAGAAAGAAGCAGCTCTGTGGTGAGCCTGAGAGGTGATGGCAAAATCAGTTAAGTAAAGTTTGAAGCATAAATTATATTAAATAGTGGATCGTGTACTTTGAAGACTTCATTTGTCCTCATTTCCTTATCAGAACCGAAAGAAATTTCCAGGGATGTGCAGATTTACAGTTCTGGGAATGATAAGTCAAACTAAGAGGCTGGCAATGCCTCAAGCTATTTCTCTATAACATCTTTCCAGCGTAATGTCACTTGCAGTAGCGTTGCAGGTATTGGCCTACTTGCCCCGTGAAGTTATCTGCATCTTTGTTCTGTATTGACTTCTGCATCAGCTGTGTTTGATTTTCTGTAGGCAAGTAGCCTCTTCTGGGCGAGCTTTCCAGAACTGCTTACAGACACTATGAACTCTCTGCCACAAATACAGTAGTAACAGGGTTTTCTAATGTAGAATTAGAACTTGGGGACTCAAGAAATTAATTTTGAGGAGACAGCGTTATGACTGTTACTCCCCAACAAGAAGAGCCTACCTCTTCTTCCCACTCTTTAAAAGGATGAAGCCTGCACATGGACACATTGCCAAGTAAGACAAACTGCTGCTTGCCCGTGAGATGACACTGCTGATCCACTGTGTAGTAGGTAGTCAGCAGGCATTCTTAGGGAATGAACACATCCTTAGGGAAAGCTTTGTGGAGAAAGTTCAAAACTTTTCATCAGATAAATGAGGTTCTTGTTGTGTGGATTTTCCTTGTTCTTGTTAACTTTCAAAACCAGTAACTCTTCACCTGTCTTTTTCCAGTTGTTTTGATCTCAGTGGTTTCTGTGAGTGGTTTATGCAGCTTGTCTCAAATGTTTCATGGCTTAAGTTCTTCATTTGCATTAATCTGTAAAAGTTTTTCTCCATTGTCCTCATATCCTTAAGCTTGTTTATTTTATGTACTTATTTACCTCTAATATCTTCCCTTTTGTTTATTTCTAGCTGCGGTCGTTAACCTAAAGAGTTGGCCGTGGTTCCCTTTATTCTTTGCTTTCTATCCTTTTTTGTGATCATGCGTGCCTTGCAGCATAGTGGGGTTTTTTTGTTTGCTTTTGTGGGGAAGTTAGGCTAACTGTTTGTATCTGTTTTAGGACTCTAGCAACAGGTATTCCTGAGTATGGCTTTTTAATAAACCCCAATAAGACAGTCGTGAATTTTCCTGTTGATGATATCCCAGGATGTTCCAAATTTAAACAGCTGCCAGAGTGTCGTTTGATCCCATGGTGTGGTTTATTATTAGATATACAGACACTTGAGGTTTACTGCGATTACTCCAGGTAAATAGAGTTGTGTACTCCAGTGTCAGCTTTACAGTATATTGTACATAGTGAGAGGCACAAGGGTGTTTTGTGAGCGGTGTAGTTGACTGAACTGCAAAATAGAGTTTACAATTCTGTTTCTTCTGCAGTAATCTAAACATTTTGTTCTGCTGCGCAGCCTGCTGTTTTCTTCGTTCCATCTTGGTGCAATGTAGGTGCCGTTAACACCGTTGAATGTGGCACAGGTCACTAGTGACCAGAAGTCACGTATCGTACGGTGGCTACCTGGTTCTGAGAAAGTTACTCAACTCCAGCATTCTACAAGATGTTTACCTTGATGAGGGTGTTGGTGCTACTAATCTGGGAGGCACTAATCAGAATGCCAAGGGTGTTTAAGGGCCACCTTGGCTTTTGATAAGCTTGACTTGAGTAACTGGAATGCCAGGGTGAACTGAGGTGGCTTCCAGCCTAAGCTCCTGCATTGCAGAGATCACGGAGTATAACCGGGTTGTCCCTGGATGTTCATAATGGTCTGGCAAAACCATGTGTTTCAGAAAAACATCTGGTTTTTGGTTTAAGGTTATTAGTTTGTTTTTTTTTTTAGCAGGGTAAATTATTCAGCCCTGAGGTGTTGAAGTCGTTCCTTAGCTAATAGCCTTAATACCACAATATCTAGTCTTTTTCTAAGTTTAATGTAATTAGTCATCTTCTAGCTACTGGCTCATTGATTAGCAGGCAATCTCTGTAACATGAGAAGTTAAATGATGCTTACTTTACAGAATTTAATTTGGTCTATTAGCCCATGGAGTTTGTTTAACTGCTTCTTTTTTCTTTCTTTGTTGTAGTTACACCTGTACTTCTATCAGATCAAGTCTTTCCTTCAATTCAAGTAGAACAGCCGGGAAAAACATGAAATACAAATTGATTACAGTCCTCAAACTGAAATGCCATTGTTTATTTCTTGATTTACAGGTGGGAATATGGAAATGGATGTTTGGAAATATTGTGATTAGTGATAAAGAGCACTAAAACTGCTTTGGGTTCTAATAAAGAGTTGATTTTTAGAGGTAATCCACGTAATTTGGAAATGTTGACATCAGCTAAAATGTGGGGTCTCAGCACCTTCCAGAACTGAGTCTTCACAACATTATTAACTTCGGTACATAAAAGAAATCTTTAAAGTTTAGCATAAAATGTTTTTGCTCTAGTTCTCTAAATCATCTTATGCTGTGGAACTTGAACGAATTGTATCGTGACAGTAAACTATTTCTATAGCTCTGTTTCTGATCTGTTCTAGATCAACAGCCTTAGAACAGTTTTCATTAACATCTACAAGATATTTTTACTCCAGGCTTACAGGTAAGTCACTGTCTTCTGCAGTAACTATGAATATTTCATTACTCTTTCTTGCCACTTGGAGGAGCTACGGATTAGGAAAAAGTGTGCCGTATAAATGTGCAGTGGTAAATGTCAGTAGTAAGTCACGTTATTCTTGCGTGTTCCATAATATTACTGGTTTCAGGATACCGGATTATATTGATGTCTGGGTTTAAGTGACACTTCACTAAATGGATTTTCGGTGTCTCTTGGTATTGACAGCTGGCATAAAGAAAAGCATTCTGTTTTGCTGTCAGGAGGATGACGAGAAGCCTTATCACTCACATACTGTTAGGGGTTGATATTTAGAACTTTGTATCTATTAAAATCATAGAGAACTTTGACCTGTATGACTTTACCTAAAGCGAAGTTTCATTCTACCAAGTTAATTGCAGTTTCTTAGCTGCTGATAATGTCTTAATTGCTCCTTAGCTGGTGGTATCTTGGGGTTTGTGAGCTGTTCTTGACCAGCAAAGGAAGTGAGTGTTTTAAACAAGGATAAGGGAAGGAAAGCAAAGCTGATAAGCAAGTTTGGAGAAAATACTATTCTCTGTGCATCGAAAACTTTGAGTGATTGGCAGCACCAAGGAATTGTTTGTTTACTGTTTGAATGCAAAAAAGATTTGCGGTGCTTCCCTCTGTACAGGAATCGGGTGTCGCTCTTTTGCTAGGCTCATACTTGTTAGGAAGTGACATTTTAGTTTCCTTCTTAAATTCAGCTTGGTCCACATTCACCCTGTATCATTCTTGTGTCTAGGAAGTGTATTTGGGCTTGTCTACTACAGCATTGAAGTGTCAAACTCTTAAATTTGTGTTATGAGTGACTTACGGTTTTTCTCTGATGTTGGAGGTGATTACTTGGTTATTTCTGTTAGCTTTTATGGTCACACTCTAACAAAGGTCTTTATGTTAGAATACCTTTAAAAAACTGTCCACCATGCTAACAGCATGTCAGGTTAATTCAGCCAGAGCTCTGTGATGCAGTGTGGTAATTATGTTTATCCTTTAAACATTTTAAAATTTCAGGATTTCTCAAAGTGATTACACTTATGATGGGCTAATTTATTAAAGAAGTATATACATTGTCAAGTAATTAAAAATCACCATTGTAATTGTTGATTATATTCAGCATAAGCAGGTTTATAATGCCAGAGTCTGAAGGGAAAAAAGGAAAAAAAAAAAAAGACAGCAGTTTTAAAATATGTCCAAACAGAAGCGTGAGTAATTTTCATAATTTTGGCTTTCAAATAGACAAAAGAGTGGGGATCCTGGTCTGTGGAACACTATGTCATTTGGAGGTCTGTTTTCCTGAATTCCTGAACAGAATTTGTTGTGGGTGTACATTTTGAGGTTTTTTTTTCTTCCTCTCCCAGTCGCTCACGTGGATATTCTCTGGCTGCATGGTCTGTGGTACGGAACTGCTGAGGATGTGTAGTTTAGCTTTCCAAGACAGTTGTTGTCCTCAGAAGAGAGTTCTGTTACTGAGGCAGGCGGCTTCAAGATCTTTCAGCACAAACTTTACGAACAAACATACGTGTCTGACACTCCTGGCACGTGTATATGTAGGAGAGGTGTCGTATGCTAACGGTGTTGCTATAGCTAAAGACTGTTGGGTGCTTTTAAATGTTGTGTAGTGCCTAAGGTGTGTAATCATAGTTTCACTTGAAATTGCAGATGACTTGTAATTAAGTAGGCTGTTTTTTGTGAACAGGTTCCATGCCTGTGTTCTCCAGCTTCCATTCAATCAGCAAGTCAGAAACAATCCCTGTTTCTTCCTAAGAATCATCTCTGAGACTGCATCATGCTGCTATTCTATCCTGAAAGCAAAAAATGCAGGTATAATATGTTAATGGCTATGAAGTAGTGTGTTTGGGTTTGGTTTTTTCTTTTTTTTTAGACAAATAAAATGTCTTGAATGTGCAGTTCAGATCATGTAATTGCGAGGTAAAGATCAAGAATGAAAAATATGGAGTGCATGATAGGAGTCACAGTGCATTTTTTTTCTTAAACTCAATTTCATGGAAATAATTTTTTGTCCTTGCTGACATGGGAGACTTCGTTGACTGCCTAGGTTTTAGTAACAAATCTTGAGGTGATTTTATAGGAGAGGTCAGACGTACTTCTTAATGCTCATCATTTTCAGTGACGCTGTTTTCTTGTTCTGTCTCTAGGGGTTGCTTTAGGTAACAAAGGTGCATCTGGCATGTTCCCTTCTGAGGCAGCAGAATGGCTCTGCTACCATGCCTTCACTGTCAAACTGGCAAACCACAAAGTTGTTTACAAATGCCTGCTTAAGCCCCTAAAAATCTGTAAGTATTCTATTATTTTTGCAGTTTGAAATATGGCTAATTGTAATAAAACTTGGAATCTAATGGATTTTTTAAAGATTTTAAAAGATTTTAAATCCATTTAAAAATGGATTTTTTCTTAGCATAAAGTGTTGTTCTAAAATGTACATTAACAAGCTTTCTGATTTTAATAAAATTTTGTATCAAAAGTTTAATCAAACCTTTAAGATGGAAGCTTTCGCTATGATCAATAGATCACTGGGGCCCAAACAACTCGAGCGCCGTATGTGAGAGACCTCCATCTCTTATAGCCCTGTGAAATCTCACCTGTACTTCTGCTAGCCCTGTTCCACCTGTGCTGCAAGGGTTGATACAATACTTGGTGGAGCACTTCTGTAGTTGCTGTTTTTATAAAAAGCCCCCAAAACATCTACTGGGTAATTTGGCAGGAGGGTGGCTGTTTGGGGTCATCTTGTCATGCCACGTGAATACTGACCAGCGACTGTAATTTTGGGAGGTGCTTTGACTGGATGTATATTTGTTTCCCACCTGCCTTTCTCCTTCCATTAAGAGTTGGTTGAGGTTTTAAAAGTAATTTCAAACTGTTTTTGAAAAGGAACTGAGAAGGCACCCGATGCCCCACCTCGGGCTCAGCGGGAGGGAAGGTGAGGTGAGGTGCTGGTACTGTAAAGCTGTACAAAGACATCTTGTGATCTGTAGTGACAGGTCCTATGCATACCCTTGGTGTGAACCTGCATCATTATCTCCATGTCTCCAAAATCTCTGATCATAGATAAAGGCTATTTTTCAGTCACCTGATCCTATGTGGTGTTTGTATTTGTATTTTCTTCCAAATTTAGTAAGATACTAAGTCTCCAATCCTGCAGGCTTCATGCTGAACTATGTGGGGAGCAAGACATGGTGAGACAGTGAAGTCTTGTGAAATTTTTTACAATGAGGGTGGTGAAACACTGGCACAGGCTGCCCAGAGAGGTGGCAGCAGCCCCATCCCTGGAAACATTCCAGGTCAGGCTGGACGGGGCTCTGAGCAACCTGATCCAGCTGAAGATGTCCCTGCTCACTGCAGGGGGGCTGGACTAGATGGCCTTTAGAGGTCCCTTCCAACCCAAACTGTGCTGTGATTCTGTGATAGATAATTTTCTCTTCAGTGTGGTGAGTTAGTGTTGTTTGGCCTGCATCAGGCTTCTGCCTGGGTGATGTTACTGTAATCAGAACACCAAACTGTAGGGAACGTTGCTACAGAGCTGAGCGTTACGTGGAGACACTGGAGCTAATTTTCACGCTGTAGGGAACGTTGCTGCAGAGCTGAGCGTTACGTGGAGACACTGGAGCTAATTTTCAGCACTGTATTTTAAGTTTTGTCTTACTTCTGGCAATCAGATAGCGTATGTGGATGTCAGAGTAGCTGCGACAGTGAAGTCTCTGGTTCTCAGGTGTGTTCCTGTAAAGTGAGCTCAGTATCTTTAGATGGCGCAGCGATCAGTAGCACAGAGATGACCAAGGCTGGTAATAGCGCCTGTGTTGACTTAAGAACTACACTTTTTGTTGTCATTTTCGAGTTAGTATCGGCTGTTTAAAACCTATTACCCCTTTAAGATCATGTTGTTGATAGGAATTGATATAAATTTAATTTTTTTTTTCTGGTGTCCCTGCACATGCCTTTCTGTTACTCTCTGTGGGAATCAGTATCAAGCTCATAGGTTTTGGGGAGGAGGTTCTTCCCACTGTTCCAAAACCTGTTAAATATCAACATCAGGGGCTTGTCAGTACGAGTTGTCGTCATTCTTTAGAGTTAGGTATTTAAAACATAGTTACTGTTTAACATCCCTCCTATTATTACCAGTGGGGAAAGGAGCAAGAGTCTTTCCTTATCATGATAAGATATAAATACATCATCTGTCTCCTTTCCAAATACAGAACAAATGTTTATTGAGCACTTCTGCCTTTCTGCACCATTGACAATTTTGCCAACTCTGTTTAGGTAACGGACTTAAACTGTTGCTAGGATTTTACGTGTTCTTCCTAATCTTTAAAAAGTCCTTTTTATCGTCTATAATTCTGTTGACAATAGACTCAGTGACCTTCTGTGTTTCAAAACTGTTATGTCCTCTTATAAAAATTCCATTCCTGGTTTAAGAGCCTTGTTTAGTCTCCAGAATTTTCCACCTTAAGGGTGGCTTTCCAGTTGACCTCTCTTCTTTTACAAGGAGGCACAGCGGGGACAATTGCTGTTGCCAGGGTTATAGCAAAAGGTGCATTTTCCATGTGAATTATTTTTTTTTAATCTTTTTGTATATGTCAGTTCCAAGCATAGGCTACTTTGATGTCATATCTGAAAGCAGAGTGGGAAAAGAACCAGTTTGGGAATAACTTCCTGCTATAGGTAAATATTATCAACCAGATAAGGGCCTGTCCCTTGTCCTGGGCATTGTTTAAAATAGGGTATTTCAAAGTAACTGTGGTTTGACAGGAGGCCTTTTTTGCTGGCTATAGTTATTGGATAAATGGTCTTGTGCTTTTAAAAAAAATTTAAAATTCTTAAATCCAATCAAAGAACTGTTACGAGGACATAGTAGGAGGAATTTGCTGCTTGGTTTTCTCCATTTGTTAATATTTTAACATATGATTTTTAACCTTTTTATTTATTAGCCTGATTTAAAGGCAGAAGAATAGTAGCATATTTCATTACAGCTTTTTTATCCCCGTATTCCAGGTGTTCCAACTTTTTCATTGGATCCAGCTGGTATTGATTTCATTACTTTATTAGCATTTTCCCTAAACCAGAATTGTTAGTTGCTTGTAGTAGTGACAAACTGCTCCTGATGTTTTGGTAGGTAAGATGCAGCTATTCAAGAAGATCCCAAAGGATACTATGGCACTACTGAAGACAGTGACAGAGCCGTCTCTTTGTCAAGATTTCAAAGCTATCCTGGACTAACCGGTTGAAGTTTATTTCAGAATTTTTCCAGGTTTGAAAATAAATGCTGTGTCTTTAGATGGCTTTTCTCTGTCGTTTATTTTGGTAGAGTGGACTGAAAGCAACTTCTCTCTCCAGTTTTCCATGTTTGTTTCTCACAAACCGCACAAAGACTGACAAGAGCAGACAATTCTGTTAATACTTCTTGTTTGTGTTTGCCTGTAAATTCACAGGCTATTTGAAATAATTGACTTTGATTCATTCAGTAGTTTCCATCTTCTTGATGAAGGCATCATTAAACTATGTTCTGTATGAACAGATCACTTTCTTCTTTCAGTGTGTTGGTTCGAAAGAACTGTTCTTTGCTTCTCTGTGTTGCAGACTATTTTAAAATAAATTGTCTGGTTAGTTGCGATAACACTTGTCTCCAATATCTTTATTTTATAGGAATCTTTAACATCCTGCCCAGCCAGGTTATGTCCTAAAGGACAGTTACCTGCACAGGGCAAGTGCATTTCGTGGCTCTACCTAGCCAGATGTACAGGTTAGAAGTTTTACACTTTGGAGAACACAACTAATATGTGCCAAAAAAGTTCAGCGTCAAAGCTGGTTATGTTTAGTGTGTTTTATATATTTTAAATACCTGGTGATATTTTTAATAGCGATATACAGAATGATGGTGGTGCATTTATACCTACCAAACAGAAGTTCTTGGTTAGATAATATACTGAGCAGATTACTCATCTATTTGTATTTCCTGTTCTTTATTTAGGTTTATCTTTGGCTCTGTGATGTTACTGAAGTACTGTCTAGTCCTGCTGCTGGTGTGTTGTGCACAGCTGAATTTTGCCCTGTGGTTGCTCTGATAAACCTGCCCATGTGGATTTTTTTTTTTTCCTCTTCCAGGCTTTTGTGTTGAATTTGCATTGCTCTAATGCAGAGTTATTTTATTGGGATTTGTCGGTCTCTGTTGTAGGCTAAATAGCAGCTACTGGGACATTTCCTCAAAGCAGAGGGAGGATATCTTGCTGGAGTGAACCACAGTGTAGGCAGTGTTACTCAGTAAATGTTTTCAACGAATTGACAGACCATCACCACACAGGGATGGGTAACACAGCTCCTAGGAGCCGATCTGCGCTATTGTACTCTGTTCATTAGCATCCTAACTCCGTTCGAACTGTCAAAACGTACAGAGAGTCAGTCATACAGTTGTTGGGGTTTTTTCTTTCTATGAAGTGGCACTGTTAAAATAAAAATAAATTTAAAAAAAAAAGAAAAAAGCCATAGGACAATTGCTCCTACTAGAGTAGAGAGCAGATGAAGGGCAGCCCAGTTGCTCTCCAGCCAGCAGCTCCCACATTTAAAACCCGCCGACCCTCACAATGTTCTGCAGTGATACGGGTGTGAGGGAACACTGTCATGGATGACGTCACGTAAGAGAGGCCTGGCAGTGCAGGAAGCTTTATTTTATTTTTTTATTGGCTCATGTATCAGGAAGAGGCAGTGAGATGCTCCTGCGAGGGCCTTGAGGGGTGAGACTTGAGCACTTGGAGAACTTCCTACACTTTGGCTGCAGCTGTTCCTGCCCGTGGCCATTCACCTGTTGTCCGGACTTTCTTCGCCTCTGCATTCCTGCCTTCCTGCTTCACTTCCCCTCTCCTGCCGTAGTAGTTGTGGATGGGACAAATTCTGACTCTTCCCACTTAACGGCACAGGCCCTGTGCATTTTGTGTGTCATGTTGAGGAAGGCCCTGCTGGTGGGCAGCAGGAGGGCTGACTTCGTCCTGGTCATTGTGTTCTGCACGGACCTTGAGAGAAGGTTGAGGCAGAGGAGCCCAGTCGTTTCCCGAGAGCCAACGAGCGTGAAAGAACGGTCTGGAATGGAGGTTGGGCAGCCTGCAAGGATACCTCACCTGCCAGGATCCTGCAGCACAAATCCATACGGGGAGGATGGGCCCTTGGGGAGAGCAGGGAGGCTTTCTGCAGTGAACTGCTGTCCCAAGGCAGACTTGAAGGGTGTTCAAAAGTGTCCTGGGTAAGTGGGGTAGGTAACTGGAGCGAGAGCTGTGCTGAATCAGTCAGCGCTTCAGAAAGCATTGCAGATAGGTGGGCTTGGGAAGACTAGAAGAAAACCTCGTTGCTCCCATCCACGAACAAGGAAGTTATGAATAGATTTGCTGCTAAGCCTTTGAACTCAGACTTTTCCATGTAAGCCAAAACATGTTTTATTTTATAAGTTTTACTATCTCAAAGACAGAAGTTTCTCATGTCCTTCAGCATGCTCACTTCTAGAAAAGGGTGAGGCTGTTCCCACATGAAGGCTCAGAACAACGGGTCCTGTTTCCAGCGTCACTGCTGCTTTATGTGGCTTCCACAGGATGCTCTGACACGGAGAATGGAGGGAATGTAAACTTCACTGGTGGTTTGGATTAGCCCAGTTTTGCTCTGTATCACAATGGATACTGTGATAATAGAAACTGCAGATGTGGCTTCAAGTTGAAGGTGTAATTTTATAAAAGTGCATAACATGTAATGCTTGCAATTCTCTGAGCCAGTGTATGCCTTTCCCCATAACTACTCGCTGAGTTATCAGTTTTAAACGGTAACTGCTGTTTCTGAAGGCTGTTTGTAAATGGATGCAAATACAATGCAGAAATCACAAGAGAAGACTATTTCTTTTTGAAATGTCTTCCACTCAAGAAGGCAAGTGAATAAGCCTGGAATTAGTATGTTCCAGCAAATGGTGAATTTGAAAATTTAAAGAAAAGCTGTCAGTCTGTACTGGAAGCTTGTGCTTACTTGCTGCTGCGGATTATGGCAATTGGAAAAAAATGCTGTGAGCATATTTGTGAGGAACAGATTAACCATAGTGGTGGCGTAGATTTAATGCTCTAAAATCAGATGTTTATTCTCTGGGGAAGGTAGAAGTATTCTATAAAGCTGCTTCTGTATGAAACTGCTCTAAAATAAATAGAGCAATATGATATGGTGGTAAAATATTTTCTGCTTGATTGGTAGGAAGGTAGTGCATTAAACAGCAACTGCTGACAGGGAATGTTTGGGTGGATTGAATAACTTAAATCTGGAAATATTAAAAGAATTAGCTTAGGAGCGCTCTGAATCTGTCGTGTGGATTTTCAACAGTCATTGGAAATCTGGGAAAATTGCAGAAGATTTGAGCCTTGAATGGAAGGTTAAGATTGTCTCAGTATTTAGGAGAAGGTAAGTGGAGAGATGGAGAGCTAACCCACTCAGCGTAGCTGCACTGTGCGTCCTGTGTTGCAAACCACTGTGCAAGTCAGCTTGGTGGGGGTTTTATATGGGGAGGAAGGGTGACAGGGCTGAAAAGTGTTTTTTAGTGTCTCTCTGCAGGGCTGGAAGGAAGGAGCTTGACAGAAGCCCCTCTAGAGGAAATTCTAGCATCTGGATGCATCTATGAAACACATCCTTCTCCCCACTGCTTTCTTTCGGGAGGGGATTATGGACTGTGAATCTCAGTTTGAGGTAGGTGTGAAATTTTGCAACGTAGGGAACTGCCTGTGTTCCAGAAGGAATATGCTCCCCTCTCTGCAGCTTTTCTCTATTTAATGTTTTATGCTAATTTGGGTGCTTCCTTATTTATAGTGCTGTTGCAATGCCCCTTCTGAGGGTTTTTCCTTTAATAGGTACTTGAGCGGCTTGTCTCATGGCTATGGATTCTCTTTAAGGCTGAACACCACCATTCCTGTTGTCTGTGTCCTTTACAGACTTACGTGCAAAGAATCCAGGCTGTCCTTACACCGTGGACAATTCTGGGCGACTCTTGTCTGTCAGAGCAGTGTGAGTTCACAGCAGAGTATTACAGCAAAGAAGATCTGATGGGATGTGCAGATAAAAGATGGGGAGGAGAGTGAGCAGAAGTAGAAAGTGCTTGGTATGTAAGACTTGGACACAGATTCAGTTTCCTGTTTGTGTGCACATGCTTGCTCAGGTGACAAAGTCAGTCACGCTGTTCAAGATACCTGTAAGATGCTGTGCTTCATATGAGTAGGAAGAGGAAGATTGTAGCAGTAATTTTACTGGAATAAGGCTACAGTTCTGGGACAGGAATTTTAGTAGAGGTCACCTCAGATGTGCACTGAGAACGGAAGATCAATGTTCCTGCAAGAGTTGCTCAGCACATTTTCTACATGCCTACTTCAGCTAAACAGTAACTTCAGCTGGTGCGTTTCCCTGCCCTGAGTTGTAGTCACTGGAGCTGAAAAGTGTCTTCCCCTTGAGTCCCATCCCAGGCTGAACTGCATCTCTGGCGACCCACAAAGTCTCCCTTCTGGTAATGGGAAGGGGCAGCTCAAAAGTCAAGAGTGCTGTGACAGTGACTTGAGATGATAGATTTATAGACTTGGAAGTCTTGTATATGTAGTTTAAGTCTTTTCTCAGCTTGTGTCTGTACTAGTTTGAGGTGTTTTTCTTTAAGAACTGTTCTCTGACCAAATACTTAAACTTGCTGTATATTCTCTGCATATATGATTTTAATGAACATCTAGCTGTCTGTAGTCAGACACATGAATATTGAGTGTATGCTTCAGTTAATTGAAAATTCTTATTTATGTATTTACAGCTTGTATACGAATATGTGCTCAAAATTGCAATTATATTAGGTTTTTTTGATTATTCATTCTTTATGGAAGTTTTTTCACCCATAACCTTTCAAATTTAATTCGCAACAGGCAATTTAAATCTTCCGTGTCACTGTCAAGAGCCTTTGCAGTGCCAGCTGCGGGCCATCAAGAAGTTTGCTTGGGCCTTTGGGACTTGTGAGGTTTCTGCTAAGAGGAGCTGTGTTTCCATGCTGAGGTACCTGCCCCTCTGTTGACTTGAAGGGCTGGGGCTGTTGGCCGGCTGCCGTGGGGAATTGCTGGACATCGTCACGCAGACCATTGCCCAAGTCCATGGCGCTCAGAAATAAAAACATGCCGAGCCCAGGCACTCACTTCGCTTCTGCAGGTGGTACAGCTCATCCCAGGTAGTGGCAGGGCCAGGAGGCTCTGGCCCAGCAGCTGCTGTGCCCCCAGCCAGTTTAGCCACGCGTTCCCTCCCAGCAGGCAGAGGGATGGTGTGCTTTTGATCCGCTGGTGGAACTGGTGTGACAGACTGGATGTCTCTGTTTCTAGTACCATCACTGGTCCAGGAGAGTCTTACTGTCCCCGTTTAGCTGCAGGACAGGAGATTGCAGCAGCGGCCTGTGTGAGGGGGATACTAAATCTAAAAAAAGTAAAATCTAAAAGAAAAAATAAATTAATCTCTTTCTTTACCTTGCTATTTTCTTAAGCAGCAGGATAAAAATTATCCCCTCCTCCCTCCCAGGCTTGCAGTTCCCCTTGTGCCTGTGAAATATGTTCACCTGATTCGTGTCAATACGAAACAATGCTAGGGCCGTAGGGTGAAATGTGACCTCTAACCATTCTGTTTGTTCTTGTATAACCACAAGCTTAGGAGAAGCAGAATGGTACATATATAGTTCCTGTTTCTTGTAAAAGCCACTTAACAACCATTTTAGAATACCAGCTTAAACTGTTTTCTTGCTAACCGTGCAGTGTTAAGTAAAGAGATCCTAAGGAAGAACTGGGGCATTTGTCATAACATCAAACGATGTTGCGAACGGGGTAACTTTCAGTTTGTGTAAATATAGGATATACTGAAATAACTGTGTATAAGCTATTTGTCGTATGTATTTGTTAAAAGGGAAGTGTCTGTTGTGTTTAGTTGCTGAACTTGCTTAAGTTTTAATAACCACAGCTTGTATTGCATAAGATGTCGGCCGCTACACGAGATGTCTGCTACTGCGCCTAAGCAGTAAGGGGCTTAGTCGGAGATACATTGCCTAGAAGACCCCCCCACCCACTGAGGAAAGTTCGAGAAGCTTCTGGAAGGACTACTGCACCTGTGCAACTTGGAGGTGGAGAGTTTTTTGGAAGAACATGCCTATTATGAATATGTAATTAGTACTAGACTATAAAAGCAGTTGTTTTGTTTTTCATGGTGTGCGTCTTGGTGGAGCAGAGGCTCCCGGCGCACCCAGCGCTGTTTGCTTGCCTTTATTCGCTTAATAAATTGTAAACTGTAATTAGAATCCTGTTTTAGATTAAATTATTTATCACAGGCCCCTTTCAAGGAGTCAGGTAACTGCCTTTGCTCTGCAAAGTTTGAGCTGGCCTCTTTTTATCTTCGCTGCTTGGCCAAATCCCTGTTACCCATTATGACACCCTACTAGTGCATAGCCTATCACAAGGCTGAATACTGGAATTGCCTGCATTTTCCTTAATCTTCCACTCCTTTCCCTGACTCTCTTAATTACTCAGCCCAAAGGCTTTGTCATACCTTGTCCTCGCATACTTTCCCTATATTTTTTTCAGAGGCTGCTGGTTGCTCAAATGTCTCATCAAAAGGAATCCTCATCTCCCATCACTGCAGAGTGGCCAGGATCTGCAGGCAAGTACAGGAAAACCTGGTTTTAAGTAAAGATTAACTTCATTGTCATGCCTTGTAAGGTTGCAGCTCACTGAGAGTCTTCCATACATCTGCAGGTTATCACAGTATTCAGGTACTGTGTTCAGTGTGAGAAATTAAGGGGAAAAAATTGGGGACATTTGTTTTCACAGTATTTTCCACTACAATAAATTCTGGAATATGCTAAGGTAAGAGATTTGTGCAAAAGTAGTTACTCAGACTTGCTTAATGTACATTCTTTTAACTGCTGATGCTTTATTTTTGCTCTTTGCAATGCTTGAGAATGTGAAATAATCACAAAATAACTGCTATTTAAGTGTGTATAGTGATTTACAGAAAGTAGAGTGTAGCAGGTAAGAGGAGTCCTTACTCTTCAAGAGCTTCCATTCTACATCTCTCAGAGTGGGGTCAGTGAATGAAACTATAGGTGCTTGTGTTCCAGTTTTTATGTTGCTGATCCTTAGGAGCAGACTGGTTTTTTTAGAAGATAACTGAAGGAAGACAGAGGGCATTTGCCATAACTAGCAGGCTTTCCAAGTTTAAAGACTAGCTTTAAACACGAAGTTGGTAATGTGTGAAAAGGGTTAAAGCAATGAGGCTGGTAGTTGGTCGGTATGTAGGGTTCAGGACAGGATGCAGGAGGGACAAGATTAATATAACTTGTGAAATTGGTTGAAAATAAAGGAAATGTAGCAGCACTGTTTATAGGGTGTTAGGGGTTGGCTGTAAGCATATGAACTGCATAAACAAGGTTGGCTGGATGATACCATACTACAGCTAATCATGTCTAACAAAGGCTGTCTTATTTTTACTTAGATACAATGGGTATTTATTCTTTTGCATGAGAAAAGTTGCTATTAGCCCCCTGAAACGAAAACACTTCTGGTGATACAAAGCTTGGGTCCTTGCTTCCGCACGTTTGTTTGATCAGGTGGAAGAGTGCTACCAGAGGTATAAACACAGAAGGAAGGAGAACTAACAGCACACAGATGGCCAGTACCCAAGGTGGATAAACTTTCTCTTCTTTCATAGGGAAGCCTTCCTATGGAGATAAAAAAAGCAAGCAAAAGAAGTAATTGGTAGGTACACGTGCGTTTTGCTGTGATTTTCCATTTGCATTTTCTTATGCTGTTATAGTGAGGATAGCAAAGGTTTTACTCTTGCTCTACAATAGCATTCAGTGGCCAAGTCCTCAGTATACCCTTCTCATGGGTCTAAAGGTGGCTGGAAGTGTTGTACGGTTTCAAAGATTTATGGCTGGAACTGTGACACATTCCTAGGGATGCAGGGGTTGCCCAAAGAGTTATCAAACTTTCACCCTCTCTTGGTTAAGCTCTGATTATTCTTGTTAGCACTCAAAGCTTACCTGGTTTCAGCAGTTACCACGCATGCTCTTTGACAAATAGGGAAGATTTGTATGACAGATTTTGGGGGAATGATGATAATGCAATTTCTGCAAGCCTGTGGCTGAGTTTTCTTTAGGGGTGATAGATACTTAATGGAGAGGAGACACTGCTGCTGTGTAATCCTCATGCAGTTTAAGACCAGAATTGATCTTCAAACCCCTGTGCAGGGAGTATTTGGGAAGGATCCAAGAAACTGCAACTGACATTGGACAGTGACATCCAGATCAAATGTCCTCAGCATCAACAATGTCTTTGGTGCTGAATTAACCAACCAACACTGTTCTCAGACCACTGCCTCCCTCCCTGTCTGCCTGTCAGAAGTACACGTTCATGTATTCATCAGGGCCCCAGTGACACTGGTACTTCTCACTGAGGAGTGTTTCCATCCCTGGCATCTGTTATGCAGCTCTAAAGCTCTGCTTATGCATTTGCTCCATCTCTGAAGCCCCTGTAGGTATGGAGTGCCTGTGAGACATTTCCCTTCAGCAGTTTGGGACTCCTCGAGAAGAAACTCTGTTAACAGAAACGCTTTTTAGTGTGTGTAACCTCTATGCCTGCTGGAACCTTCTCATTCCGAGTGTTGCATCACTCCAGGCTGCATTGTGTAGGTAAGCAGTAGATGGTGATGATTCTAAACGACCTGGTAAGGGAGAAATATACAGCTCTTGCTTTTATTAGAAATTTTGAAAATATTTGTAAACGTACATATTTAGGGTTCCAGGCTGCATAGCTTGGTGGCTTCTGTATCTGAAGAGTAACAAAAGCCACGAAGACAATTAGCAGGAGCAGAGGGCTAATAAATTTCCAGGTGATCTGCCAGTAGAGATTGGGTTTTCGTCCAGTCATCCATTTCACATCTTTACTGAACCTTTTAAGAGGAGACATGTTTATCATGATGTCAGATCTAAGTGGTAACAGTTTCACTTTTTCATTTTTTTCTATAAGTTAAACACATGATACAGCTCCCTAAATATTTTTTATTCCATACTCTAATAATTTACTATAGACTTAAATAAATAATACTATCAATAAAGTAGGTCTTCATTGATCAGTTTACATTGCCAGTTTGTATTACCTGAGCACTTAGTCTAAGGTTTCTATGCACAAGTAAGTGATGAAAATATTACAGCCGTTCTGTAGAACTATTAAAACATTTAAAGAAAGACAAAGTTGCCAAGGGAACAAACATAGCTTGTTAGGAAGAAGTCTGAATTAACCAGTACCGAATGTATCAGGTCAGGGGCAAAATGATTGCAGCCTGAGCCAGCTTCCTCTGCAGTCAGTAGTGCAGTCATTTGGACATGGAGCTGATCTTTTACATGTACCTCTTATAGTTTTATATGTTGAAGGGGCAGCAGAGATATGGTTCTGGGTTTAGTAGTTACATGATAACCTGTATCTATCAAGTTGGAAAGGGTTTTGTAATCTGGAATAAGAATTGGAGTGTGTGTGTGTCTGTTCAAACATCAGCTTTGTCTTAAATTCTGTTAATCTAACTGAAGATGGTAGAAATTCTCTCAAGAACTAGGAAAAAGTGATTTGACTATGCTCATATCCTGTAGTAACAAAGAAGAAAAAGTGTATGTATACTAGCACAACAAAGAAAATAGAGGCGTAGTGTGTGAAACCAGATTTTGTTGCTACTTCTGCATCATACAAGATTGAGGCTAGCTGTATGGGCAGCAAGAGGGAGGTGTGAAATTGTTTATGATGATATAGCCTGGGAGTTACCACTGTTTAACATGGGAAATGCTCCAAGGATCTTAACAGTGGATCTAAAAAAATTAATGCAGGGACTTTAGCTGTAAGTGAGGAAGATCTGTCTTTTTTTTTTTCCTTCAGTTTCTTTTTTTTAAAATCATAAGCCTATGGGAAGTCTTAAGTTGGATGATACTGAAACACCTTGATATGCAACAGCACTGGCCAAACATGAGTTCATTACCTGTACAGTATACAAACTGATCCACAAATAATTGGGACCTTCATGATCCCAGTGCCAGAGTAAGAATTGGAAAGGTGAAGTCCCAGTATGTAATTCAGTAAATTATAGAGGGGAAAAGATTAATCTTTACTGAGAATTGGGGAAATTTCTGGACTGGAAGGGCCCTGAGTAGGGAAGGCAGGTTTATTGTAAATCAAAATGAGGTAAGGTTTCTGGCATTTATGATTACGAAGGATGTAGGAAACTTCTAAAGAGTGAATTTAATTAGTGCCAGTGCCTGCAGAGATTCTCCGCACGCCCGTTGAGCCTTTTAACAGGGAGGAGTTACTGCATGTTGCTTTCATGAAGTTCAGTGGGAAAATATAATAATAAACAAAGAATACAAGCATATACAAAACAAAAGGGCAGTAACAGGACGATATTTGAAAGATGGTGTGACTCCTCTTGGCCAAAGAACTACAATGGCTGTTGACTTTCTAGCTTTAAACTTAGGATCCTCCCTTCTGTGAGTGCTATGCAGAGATTATTCATCCTGTTTTAGAAATACAGGAGACTCGAAGCAAAGAATGGTAACGACATTCACAGAACTGATAAGTGCTACAGAAATAAGTTAATATTGTATTCCTGTGCAAAAGGAAAATGCATTTCTCTCTTATGAGAAAAAAAATTCCATCTGCTTCCAACGTACCTTTCAATTTTATAGACGTACGCAACCCCAATCACTTCAAAGAAAGCGAGGACTAGAAGAGGCAGTGAGCCTGCATAGCTGTCAAAAACGTCAATCCAGTAACTCCCCGAACCCAGCGTAAAGCACAGAGCAACGAGGAAGCAAATTAGACATATTATACCTGAAGGAAAAAACATATTTTTGTTGCTGGGAGTACTGAACTGAACTTGGTAAGTATATCTTTGTTCTGAATTATTTTTGCACTTGTTCTAGTGATTTGTATTCTCTCTTCCTCTACGGAGCTACAACAAGCTGTTTTTTCCTTAGAGGAGCTCATACCACTTCCCAAACTCGGTTTTCCCCCGTGTGTTGGCCGAGAGGCACCCCTCTGTTGCAGGAGGAATGCACTCGTGTGACTCGGAGCATCCTTCAGTTGTTACTAACTCCAGCAGGCGGCCTGGGCTGGGCTGTGCTATTGCCCTGTCTTGGTTTTTGACTGATGTAGGGAGTTTCAAGTGCTCCCGTTTTCACGGGGCTCAAAGCAGAGGCAGCTGGCACCTGAGAAGCGTGAGGGCTTCCCTGGGTTCCTGCCCCCCGTTTCCTCAAAGGGCCCAGAGCTCCAAATGTGTATGTCCCTTATGTGTATGGTTTAGGTTTCACTACGCTTCTGTGCCGTCAGTTCTCCTTGAGCCAAGATACGGATTTGAGGTAATTAAGAGGAAAAAGCGGGAAGGAGGAAAAGTGTTGCTGGATGCAGACATGGGCTGCAAATCAATTTGTGTGTCCTTGTGCTGTGTTACTAAATGCTTCTGACTCTGAGGTGGCCTTTGATTGAATGTGCTGTAAAATTGGCTCCAGGCTTTTTTTTTTTTTTAAAGAAAGCGCTCACAATTGGAAAATCAATTTCAAAAAAAATCAGTTTCAAAAATAAAACGGTTACCTCATCAAGCTGTAAACAAATTTGTTTCTACATGAAAAGTTGTAAAATGAGAAGGATATCATTTAGATGCCACAGGAAGACTGTGAAAAAGGCATGACAGCAATATTCCCCGTAATAATTTCAAAGGGCACATTGCAGAAGTGTTAATCCATTACTTCAAACTGCCAGAAATTTTTCTAGTCCAGTTTTTCTGGACCAATTTCACAGTAGGATCTCTCAGACTCTCACTGAGTCTGACTCTTGAGGAGCAGGTTGGGTTCAGTAACTGTCTCTGGTTGTAAAGATTCCAGTTTTGGTGCAAGAACAGGATGACACACACTCATTCCTCCTTTTCTAAGTGGTAATTTTCTATTCTGGCGTGTTCACAGTAAATGTAGCAGCAGAAACCTGAATGAAATAGGAGTGAGTGACCTATCTTACAGTGGTGACAATGTGGTAAGTTCGCAGGTGGTTATGGCAGACCAGCTGGTGTCACTGGTTGCCTTAAAGTGACTTGTTTAGGTGCCAAAGCGAAGTGCTTAAGTGAAGACAAGGCTCTTCCTGATGTCTACAACAGCTCAGAGTGAACTTGGCTCCAGGAACAGCAATTTAACAGGCTTTCTCAGGCTGAAACAGCTCTTGCAGGCTAAGGAAAAAACTGGCAAGGGCAATATAGTACTGTCATCTGACAGCTGCTGCCCTAACTGCTGCCTCATCTAGGTGCTTATCTTCTGCAAACACAGTCCGCTGCCCGTACCAACACTGTGGGATAGCTAAGGTAACGTTACAGATTCTTAATCCCTCTGTGACATTCCCTAAGCAGTTGGTAGTTGGCGCACCTATAAAGAAGCCACCTTCTTTGAACAAAGCAAAGCAAATACCTTACCAGATAATAGCTCTTTGGGTATTGATTTAGGTATAATTCGAAGCTCTAGAAGAGGAGTGAAGACTCCCTCGATGTTCCCAAACATAGAAGAAAGGCCCAAGCAGAACAACATAGTGAAAAACAGGATGGCCCAGGCCTGGGAGCCTGGCATGAGAATGATGGCTTGAGTGAAAATGATGAAAGCCAAGCCAGTTCCCGATACACTCTGAATTCAGAAACAGATAAAAATACACATTATAATGGCGTAAATGTAGTTTCTCATGGATATAGAATTATGACATGCTTCCCTGGAGTCAAGGGTGCTGGTCAGCCTGGGGGACTCTGTGGCAGCCAGCAGCTGAGAAAAGGGGTAGTGGGGAGTGTTTGTGGGGATTTTAATTTGAAATGGTCTATCAGAGAGGTGTAGGCAATCGTAGAGCAGAATTTTAGCTTGCACAGAGAGATGGGTCCACAGTAAAGCAGATCTGAGAGCTGTAACTGAAATAGCAATTGTTTTGCTAATACCATCTTAAATATGTTTTTTAAAAAATCCATGATGTAATAGCTGCTGGAAAGAAAAGGGTGTAAGTAAGGATATGATTGCCATTCTAGCAGCAAGAGAGTTGGTGAACAAAACCCCCCATAATTACCAGGGCAGAAAAGGTTAATAGGGAAGACCCCTATTTCAGCCGAATATCTTTGAATTCAGTCTCCCAAGGACAAGGGTATTTAAATCTAAGCATTGAAAAATACTGATGTTGCTCTAATTTGGAAGTAAAATATGCCAAACTGTAAATCAGAAATGGGTGCCATCCGTCAGAGGAAGCCAGACAAAACAGAAACTGAGTGGTCTCAGGGCTGGAATGTCGTCCTTGGAGACTTCCATCATGTGAGTGAAATAGCCTGTTTCACCATCCTCGTGTGCCAAGGCTGTTGTGCATTAGCACACACTGTCTCAGGCAAATTTGTCCTAAGATTTCTTTTTTTTTTTCCTTAAGCTCCTCTCTTTCATATCCTCTCCTCCAGCCATGGCTCTATTCTTTTCTCATTAGGTGGTAAGGACTTGCAACAAGGGAGTGCAAATGAGTGAGCAGTACATGAGTGTTAAAGGACTGGGTGGGGTCACTGGAGCAAGCGGGATGAGGTTGGAGAAGTGAACAGAGAAGAAACATCCGTGTTAGTGGTAGGGGAAATGTTTTAGGAGGGTTGGGAAAGAAGGAGAGGGGGAGGATCATGATGTATTTTGGCAGAGGCGGGAGGGGGGTTGAGCGGGGGGGGGAAATACTGGTGAGATTCTGTGCAGAGAGGAGGAAAAATAGAGAGGACAAGAGGTGGGGAAAGGAAGGTGAAAGAGAAGTCAGTGGTAAGATACCTTCCTGGTGGTCATACATGTGATTGAAGGCAAACAGTGAACATTTTAATAGATTTTTTGATACCTTCCTAAATATGGATTTAGGAAACTCCCATTCGGCATCCTTTTTCTGTGCTCTTTCAACTGGATGTGTTTTCTCTTTTGTGCTTATTCCTGTAAACCGAAGTAGGGCTGAATCTAGTGTCTGTGGTGGGCTCCAGGTAGGAGCACCTCTGAAGATCAGTTTTGTGATAATAATGTGTAATTTTGCATGCTGTACTGGACAGCTTCGAGTTCAGACTGTCCTACAGCAGTGGCATTATTTCAAATTTTGAAAAACTATTTTGTTTCGTGATTGTGTATAATATATTAAATACAAGTAAAGTACAAGTACTTATAAGAAAAAGGAAGATACCAGTCCTTCTACATATGTTATTAAGGGTTACTTTGTGGTCATTATGGTACCTGATCAAGAAATTCTTGAAGGTCACAGCTTTTCAGTTTGAGTCCAGCAATTTTTTCTGGATATGATGAATTTAGGAAAGTAAGCCAGGCTGTATAGTTCTGTCGCATGATACTTTCCTCCGGAAGATCAAATTCGTTGATGATACTGATAATGTTCCTGCCAGAGAAGCCAACATAACATTAGTTTAAATGTTTGCAGATCATGTGGCTGGAAATGCTATGCCATGTATTCAGATGTTGATAGAAAGTTGTGTTTACCTTCTGTGCTGTTCTTTACAATAGAAGGGAAGATACTAAATGAGGACTTATATATAAAATAGTTAGGAGAAAATATTCAGACTATTTAATGTCTTCTCTTTCAGATACAAACTCTGAGTACTCTATGCAGATGCAGTCTCTAAAATATTTCTATTTTTATTTTACCAGCTCTCCAGACCGTTTCCACCACTTGTGTTTCATAACTTAGTGAATCTGGTGGAATAGGAAAAGGTGTTGGTTTTTTAGCTACTTCTAATGCTAGTCTGAGATTGAGATGTGTTCCTTGACGCAATGCATTGGTTTATAATCTGTCTTGCTTCTTATAAATGCTACCCCTGATCATTCTTGCCTCAGAGCCATAATACTTTCTATTTTTATATTGGACTTCTCCATACAGATGCTTTTTATTTTTAGTGAAAGTAAATTCTCTAAATGCCTGTTTTTCAAGTACCACGTTATCTAGTTCGGTGTTGAAAGCACAGTGTAACACTGGAAACGCGGGTTTCTCACCTGTCCAAGCAGTCCCAGTAACCTGTGGTCGCTTTAAACCCCAAAACAGAAAAGACTGGGATGGAAGCGTAGAGGGATGTCACGCTGTTCACAATTGCTACTGTCACAGCATCCTTTTCGCAGTCGTTTCTAGAAATAGCGTTCGAACAAGTGAAGTGATTGAAAAAAGGCAGTATTTTATCAGTGATTCTCTCAGGTATTTCTGCAAACATTTCATTTTTTTAGATTTTTTTTTTTTTCCCCCTTCCTGTTAGAAAAATCTATTTGGCCGTTCAGAAAGACAGCAGCTCTTAAGATACTTCAGAAAAATTAAGATCCTTTATAAATATCCGAAGGAAAGACTTCTGGAAATTTCAGAAAATTGCACAAAATGCAGCAAGAAATTAGCCAATTGATAAAGGTTGTAGTCCTACTTACTTCGGTGGATTGTAGCTTGAGAATGCAATAAGCCCTCCAAAAGCCAAAGAGAGAGAGAAGAAAATCTGGGTAGCTGCATCAAGCCATACTTGGGGATTTTTCAAAGTGTTCAGCTGAAATAATTGGAATAAATGCATGTATTAGGCTAAATTGAGTTTTCTTTTTCTCTCCCAGTTCTCGTAGCTCGTCTCGTGTTTCCCTTCTGAAATTGAGAGTTGTGTTGCCTTCTAAATGCACTGAAAATGGAAATTAGTACAAAACATGTCAGTAAAGCAGGTGTTTGAAGACATAATTTGGTCTATTTAAATGTATGTAGTGATTATAGAATCTCTTTCATTGTACACCTGTCTGATGACAAAAATGTGTTTTTAAATGGTACACATTAGGCACACCATAGGGACAGTCCGTTACGTTTTTCCTCAATTTATTTCTTTTGTTAATCCACTTACTGGGTAGCTTACAGTTTAGGAATATTATCTTCCTAAAGCTGTATAAACAAATACTAAACCTTCATTGTTTTAAGATACAAAGTGATTCCATAGCTTTCCAAAGTAGCTTAAAAAAATTAAAAACAAACTCAAAAGCCTAAGCAGAAAAGAACAGGATATTCGTTAAAAAGAGCATCTTGGATTCAAAATACTGTGACAACAGCAATAGAAGATAAAAGGGCAACACATGAAAAATACAGAAAAAGGAGAAGTTGAGAGTGAAATTTTAATTTTGTCGTAAGGGCGATGTGATAGAGGAAGCTAAATTAAGACGTCAATGATTGTTGTGTTGCAGAGAACGACATGCAGTTTTGAATAGCTGTGCTAAGAAGGAACCTTACCATTAAAATCGGTCTGAAAGAAAAAGAGAAAACACAAGTAATGTGCAAAATGTACATGTGCTCAATAAATACTAGTTTCCTGCAGAAACCAAGAAGTGGCGCATTATATTCCTACCCTGACAGTAAAATTACTTTCCAATCCATCATCAAGTAGGGGGAATAGAAACCAGTATTAGTTAAGAATTAGTTTAAAAACCAGCTGGCCCCAAAGTAGTACCAGGGCTGTAGCGTATTTCACTTTGTTTTGCCTCACTCTGGGTCAAACCAGCATCCCAGTCACGCAACGTGAGTTGTGTGATTCCTGCGTTGTGTCCGCCTGCCTCTGCTGTTGATCCTAGTGCCTGAGTAGGAGTGTTTGTAGGGATGGATCCTACTAGGAGCATTTGTAGGAGTGAGGGGTAAGTATGCCAGAGACCCTTAATAGCATTTTGGTTTTCTCTGAAGCTGGCCTGAGCTTGAAGAGCAAGAATAATGAGTTCACCTCAGTGTGGATGGATGCAGTGAAGGCCGGGACCGCAGGTGCTTTCTCCGCGAGCATGCCCGTGCTTTGAGCGCAGCAGAACTGGCCTAAGGTTTTGTACAGCATCGCATGGCCAGCAGATACCTGCAGCCCTTCCTGGCTGACGTGCTCCAGCTTAGGCAAACCTTTCTAGGGTTTTACTCTGGAAGATCCTAACCAAACCCTGCAATGCTGGAGGCAGGACCTTGTGCAGGCGCAGAGCTAGGTTGCTATTCCGGTGCCGAAACTCGGCACCCACGTTGCTGCGTGGCCTTCACGGGTTGATTACGTGCTGCCAAGTCAGCTGTCAGCGCTGATGGGTGCGACTGTTACAAGTCTGGCTTTCTGACTGGGGGCTTGAGCGAATGAGTCTGGAGATAGTTTAGTTTGGCGCTAGATGCGATGCATTTGTTGACTCTAAAAGATACTAATCAACCCCCAAACTTGAAGAAAGTGTAGACCATCGTGCTTGCTGTGGCAATGTCGTTATCTGGTCTTAAGCAAATTATGAAGCTAACTGTTATTTTCTATTTTCAGTAATATGGCATACAGATTTCGTAAGCGTGTCTTCAGAAGAAAAAATGTGCTGGAGCTAGAAATATGTGGATGAAGATATACCACCAGAATGTTAATGAATAAACACGGGGGTAATGAGGAAGGGAAGCAGAATTGCTCCCTCCCTGGGTGGTGAGATGTTTGGATACTTGAACACATGAAACACAGACAAAAACTTTCTTAAAACAGAATTAAAAAATACTGGGATCCCTGTGACGTGTAATCTTGGTGTAAAAACAGCCGTTGCTTTTCTCATACGCAGGTGGCTAAGAAGTAATTCTGCCCTTAAAGACAGCAGTTCATTGAGGTAGCGCTTTCATTCTCCTTAATACCAGAAACAATACGGACAGACCAGGTACCTTGAAAGAAGTTTTAAGTGTCCGTTCACAATAATATATCAGGTGTAAAACTAAACTGCAAAATAGAGGAAAAAAATTACAAGGTGCCTCTGTGAGAGAGGATGTGGTGCCTGTACCGCCTGCTTCTTTCTCTCGCCTACTCTCGCTGCTCGTTAAGGAGCTGCAGAGCTCTGGGCGCAGGCACCGGTGGCCCAACCAAGTTCTTGGAATTGTTGATTGCCAGAGAACCCCCAAATATTTACAGTCTCTGAAGCTCTTTCAGATGTGAAAGAGACTGGAGGAGGAGGCATTTGTGCTCCTGAGCTGACACAGATGTCCACAGGAGCTGAACTGCGTGGAGGACGTTGCTGATGCTTGATGGGATCCCTTTTCTGCTGCCTCTGATTACTTTTTTTTTCCAAGAACCTTTCCAAAAGTCTCTGTTCCAGCTCCTGTGTTGCTTAATCTTTGTACATCTTCTGCTTTCTCCTCAAGTTCCCGTGAGTGTAACTTCAGTTTATTTTTTGTTTTCGTGGCAGCTTCACTTTCCAGGTAGCCAAGGATTTAGAGAGGGTGAGTAAATCATCAGACTTCTCCATGTCTGAAAGTCAATGAAAAGAAGTATTCATTATTTGTCCTAGAATTTAAGGTGTGGAAGTGTGTCGGGTGGCAAAAAGCCGACTATGTATTTCTGCATGAAAAGAAACCCGCAGCCTGCCATGTTTAAAAGCTGTATGCATGCAGTTATTATTTGTGATATTTATTCACTTGGAAAGTGAGTGAATTTAAGCAATGGTAGTTTGGGGAAAAAAAATTAAATTCAGTTGGGTGATTATGATGTTGACACTAGGTAAGATGTGACTTTTAGCACTAGGTATTACTTTCTTTCACAGATTTTCAAGAACAGCGAGGTGCAACAGTTACCAGAGAGTGGATGTGGCAGCTATTGCAGAGAAACTACAATTTCTGCTGCACTGCAGTTGGAAAAAAGTTGGAAAAGATTGCCTCTAATGAGAGCCTAAAGAAGGCTGATTTTTTTTTTCTTTCTTAAAAACAAGCTGAAACAGGCAGTAAGTGAGCTAACTCTTACTTTATTTTGCTAAAACTTTACAAACTTTCTGCAAAAAAGACAGGAAAAGAAGAAGAAAACAACACACAAGAAATGCTTTACAGTTCTGTAAGCTAACGTGGGCTGGGGGGGTCAGGTAAATCTTTGCTTAAAAAAGCCCACAAACCAACATCCCGCTTGTCCCAAAGTGAGTTGTACATCCCCTGTGGAGAAGTGTGATAAGAAAAACACGTATTTACTGATGGTGGTGATGGGGATAGTTCCTCATCAAACAGGCTAACAGAAAAGGCAATACAGGTACTGCAGCTGTGGGCTAGGGGGAAGAAGAGAGCAAGGAAAGGTTGCAGTTGTATGCCTGCTGTCTTCTTGAGTCCTTGAGGTGCCAAAGTCCTCCGTAGCAGTTGGCATGTTAGTTTAGCCAAGCACGTTAGTTTAACAAGGCTCTGTCTTCCCCTGTAACTTTCTATGCAATAGCAACACCCATAGCAGATATCACTTACCAGGCTGTTGCATCAGTTTTTCCCATGTTTGTAGATAAGAGCATAGTTTCATCACCAAAACCATCTTCAGATGACTCTTCAAGGATGTCCTCAGGATCTGCTTCCTCAAACGGACTAATCATTAACTGCAGGTTGATTGCAGCTGGATTTTCATTCTGTCTTCTGGCGCCGGTCTGCGAAACCATCCGGCTCTTCTTTTACGGCGGTCTGCTCTCCCCCAGCCCTGCAGTACCTCCAGTTTTTGTGAATACGCACAAATCTAGGTTTTGTGTTCGGTTCGCTGGGCAGTGATCGTAAGTCCCGGCGGTGCCTGAGCTCTTGTAGAGAAACCCGACTGCTGGGCTGAGACCAGATGCCAGCAGGCCCAGCCCTCTTCTGGTTGTGTTGTCTGATCTGCTTGCTTCATTGAGACGTTGCACCGAGCATTTGTTGTCCTGTCTGAGCCCTACAGAAATGCAAGTGCACGTCCTGCTCTCCTGTAAAGACCAAGGTTGTCCTTTTTGAGCTCTGGCAGCGTTCAGATGGCTGCCGGTGCCACTGGGCTTGCAGGGGGAGGGATAGAAGGGGACTGCCTCATCTGAGCTTTCTCTTGCCATTGTCCCTTTCCAGGCTGGCATGTAACCTGTCTCCGGGCTTCTTGGCTTATGTTTTCCTTGTGCTCCTGTCATAGGAAGGGAAAGGGAAATATACCCAGTGCTCCTGTGGTGGGAAGCACTGCTGAGGCTGCGGAGGCAGAGGATGCTCTGAGACCGTCTGTCGGCAGGTGCTGCTCTTCCTCCTCTGCGCTCGCCGCTTTGTGGAGCTTTTTAGCACGAAGGCAGGGCTGTGAGGAGCCCGCGGTTGGTAGCAACCACATGGTGGGACAGTTTGGCTTTGCATTTGGGAAGGCCGCTAAGGTCGGGGTAAAGAGGTCCTGCTCAAGTGGCCAGCATAGGGAGGGATCCGGGACTCCTGTCCCGTTGAGAAGATGAGAAAAAAGGGGAGGGGGGTATTCTCCAGCAGTTCTGTCTTTTAGGGCAGCTACAGGGGGAAAAACTTCAGCTATGGAGAAACAGGGATAGGAGAAGATTACTTTCAACCTTAAAAAAAAACAAAACAAAACTCAGTGTAATTCCTCCATTGTTTTCCTTGTGAATTCTTAAAAGATTAAAGTTGTGTAAATTCTGTAGTGTTGGCAGGGAAATCCCGTCTTTATCATGTGTAAAAGAGAGATGATTCTGTTCATGCAGTGCATCAGTTTCACTTACACATGCAAGACCAAGGCACCCATAACGTACTTACTTTTCCAGGATTTTCTGATACACTTATTACTGAACTGTTAAATACTCTGCTGCTGCTTTTCTTGCTAAAGCATATTAAAATACTAAATCACTTCATCTCAGAAAACAGAGCTTAGCTGAGCTCTTGCATGGGCAGCTAGATCAGGCATTGCTCAGAAATGAATATACAGCATGAGATCCGAGAGGGAGAAAAAGGAAAAATAAGATTTCTGACTCCTGCAGCAATACTTACATTAGGGGTGAAGAGGTAAGCCAGACCGTCAGTGGCTCCTGGTAGAGTGAGTCCATGAATAAGGAATATAGTTAGGACCAGGTAAGGAAATATTGCTGTTACATAAATTGCCTGAAGTAAGAAGACAAAACAGTTACTGACAACATCGATAAATCCCGTTTAAGTCATTGCAATGTACAATCCTAATAATATTAGATAAGACAGCTACAGGTGAACATCGCAGTCTTTAAAAGAAGCAGAATGCGCTTTTGCAGGATGTATTTGTAACAAAATCCCTCTTAAAACTGTGTGAGGGGAGACTGGTAGGGCAGAAGTGTCACTTTGAGCCTCCTGTACCGCTGTTACTGCTTTGCTGGACGAGCAGCACACTGTTGTGGTGCTGGTGTGGCGAATGGGGAAGGCTTTCCTTGGTGGTCGGACTCCGTATCTGGAGAGCAAGATCCAAAGTGTGGGATAATGCCCTGCTCTGTCCTCTCCGTACCTTTCCTGTGGTTTCAATTCCTCGGATGGTGCAGAGATAGACAATTGCCCAGCAAGTTGCTAAGCACAAAATGAGCCACCACTGCAGCGTGCCGCTCTCGGTGACATCGGGTGTGATGTTCAAAGTTTTCCTGTACCAAAAATAATTCACTGCGGTACTTTTGTAACATTCTTCATTGAGCCCTGGAAAAAAACGTGGCGAGCGTAAGAATGGACTTTAAAATGGGTGATGTTTGTCCCACTCCCGCTGGGGTTAGGGAGCAATACTTTATACTAACGGAGGGGGGCAGGTCGGTCTCTTGTGAGCTGCCAACTCAAACGCAGAGATGGGCTGAAGGGGCCTTTCTGCCCCGTCTGTAACGTGCAGCCAGACGAACTGTCACGGCAGGCCGGGACTGCGAGATTTGCGTGAGCCCTGCACCAGAACACCACCGGCTTTTCTACAGGCGATCGCTTTCTACATAGAAAAGGTGTCACGCTCAGTGCAAGGTGAACTCTGAACTGTAATTGCGGTGGAGACCATCAACTTCTTTAGCTACAGGTGGGTGGAGCCATAACAAGAGTCGGGCACCTGAGGATACACCTAATCCCAGGATCCCCTGGCTACGTCGTGGCCCAGTAGTGGGGCAAGACCCAGGCACCAGCCTCTTTGGCTCAGGTTTCCAGGATTTCTGTGAGCAGGAACCTCGGGCGGTCCCCAGCCAGGCTCTGCGCTTGGAGAAGAGGGAACCGGGAACACGACGTACGCCACGACCCATGCTCACCCCTCTGCCTGCGGGCAACCTGACTGCCTGAAGAGGAGGTTGACAGGAGGTCTTCAGGCAACTCACTGACCTGCTGTCTAGCTGGAAACCTGAACTGGACGTGCACCCGGGCATGCACTGACCAGTGCAATCCCAGTTACCTCTGAATACCCAGTCTCTGGCTGTTGAACGAGTCTGTGGGTTGTAGCAGGGTAAATGAGTAATGAGCTGTGTAGTGAACAGCTTTGCTGCTCTTGTCCCATTAGTCCCAGCTTAAGTACCTGAGCCTGAAATAACGCCACTTTAGTCTACGTTCAGCTAAGCCTGGTGGATGGGAGCAGCGGCTACGTGGCTCACTTAAGCAGCTCCTTGGACAGAGGATGGCAATCGTGGTGGTGAAGTGCACGTTCTTCCCACCTTGGCACTGGTATTGAAAAATCCATCCTTAGAGGACTTCTTCAATGTTTTCTGAAAGATGCTTAGCTAAAAGTGCAGTTTTTTGTATAACAAACTACTTGATTAAAAAGTTGATCTCCAAAGCAGGTTGGGAAAACATTTGTTTAGCTCACTAGTTGGGAAATCTGTATCCTAAGAAATGAAAGAATCCTATTTCTTAAAGCCCGAAGAATTTTCTCTAATTCTCTAATAAGATGGGGAATGTCTGATTGTCTTCCTACTCTAGAATGGTCTTAAGGTCTCCAAAAGAAAGTCGGCTTCTGCTAAGTTTTGTCTTTTTTTCGTAGCCTCTTAATTATGAGGCTTAGATTATGTTTCCTGCTCTGCCCTGGGACTTGTCATCTCTCGTGCTCTGAACAAAAAAGAACACTGAAAAATAATTGTGAAGACCCAAGAGCAGTCTTCCTTTATCCTGCTTAGGTACTGTCTGTCTTTGGTCTTACTAAAGGTGTGAATTTGGTCTGAGCCTCAAAGATTCCATCTTTAAGTCATTTGTCTGCTACCTCACAAGCACTTTGCTTAGTTGCTTTTTTTTTTTTTTTTTTTTTTTTGGATGCAGTTACTTCCTTTCCTATTTTGAAATTAAGCAAAAGGGGTCATGGACTTTTTGTTGTTCCTGTGAGGATGATTAATTTTAGTAGGATATCATCACTCTTGTAGCTTTTTGACAAGAAAACAAACAAGGTCTTGTGCACAACTCGGGGACAAATCAAGCGTGGCTTCTCTTCCCAGGGGTTTCTTGGTTGGCTGCTCTAGGAAACGGCCTTGTCCGATGTGGAAAAGTAGTCTCAGCAACCTACAGGCAGAAACTAAAGTTCACCAGAAGGGTTGTGTTTCCTGGTCTGGCAACTCAGCTGATCTTTCTCAGCACAACACGGCAAAGGAGGTGAAAGGTTTCTACACGAGCTTGTTACGGGTCATAACCAGTGCATCACCACCTAATGAAAACTCACAAGTCTTATTTATGGCCACATCTTTCTGTAACTGCTTTAAATTTGGCTCTTAATTATGCTAACAATCTCACGTGTCTTGATATGTAGTTTATGATAACTGACGTGTGTCTTGATAAAGGACTATTTCCCCATAATCAGAAAGCAGAGGATGCTCTTTTAGACTGGTATTTGTATCATAGCACAAGCATAAAAGAATAAACAAAACTTCCCTTTTGCCCTTGCTAGCCCCCAGACTCTGACATTTGTGGTCCTCCTTTTGCTAGCAGTGACAGCCGAAGTGGTAGTTACCTGTTCTGTTTTCATTTAGAGGACAAACACTCCAAGGAAGAGGTTCCTGGAAGGAGTTTATGAAATACCACATCACCCAGGTTAAAACGGTGTTGTAGTATAAGCTCACCAGAACTGACACCATCCATGAACCAACCCCTGCAGAAAGCACAAGATCTCAGCTTAGGAAAGCTTTGGAAAAAATCAACAGTCTCAGCACTTGCTCTTAGAAGCTCACATTTCCTAATTTTTCAAGATTTTCTGCTTCCTCACCCCCGCACCCCCCGAGGTTTGCACATGAAAGATGGGCATTTGTGTCCTCGGTAGCCAAACGCTGGTGCACAGCTCCCCAGCCCCCCAGTCCTGCTCCAAGAAGGCTGACACTCGCTACTTACTTAGAAGATTAGGGTTGAAATCTTTGCTCTAGCATGTAATATGTTGGTTTCTACAACGTGGGACAAATTTAATAGTGGAGACCAAAAGAAGCTGAAGTTTCCCAGCGTGCTGTAGCTGCATGAGGGTACTGTTTTATCCCAAATCATGCACATATGCCCTAAACCGGTAGCTCTTTCGCTCCTACAATAAGGAAGAACACCACCACCACGGATTCTGCTTGCTGGCATTTTTGCGAAGGGAGGATGGACATGCCTAATTGTAGGAGATGGGTTTAGCTGGAGGCACCACCCTTGCTGCCTGGCATTTCTTCCTGGTTGCCCTCTGGCCCTTAGATAAGTCTTCTTACCCACCCCTCCTCCTCCCACGCACCCCCACAGGCATGGGCTGTCGCTGCCAATCCCGTTTTCAGGCACCTGCTTAAGGCAGGGCATGACCAGCCGTGCTGGCTGGAGCATCCGAGGGCTTCTCCTTGCCCCCGCACGCAGGGGGGGTGCTGTCTCAAAACCGTCAGAGCCGGTGGTTCAGCCCTCTGAAGGTGACTGCTCCCATTCACGTTTTGCAGCCTAACAGCGTGCACAGGACACCAGCTACATTTTTTTTCAGTGTATGTTAAATAAAATAAATAAATATGTGGCCGGTACAGGGCTGCACACCGGCCTGACGCACAGTGCTGTGCGGATTGTCCCTCGTGCCCAGCCATGTTCATAATCTTCCCCTCAGTAGCCCCACTGTGCCCCCCTCTCCCAAAGGGAAACTTTCCCAGGTGCTTTAGGAGGCACCGGGCTCCCATTCCTGATTTTGTATCTTTCTTGTCCCCCCCTGCTCCAGTCTGACCACCCCTGGAAGAAGACTGGCTCCTGGATGGGCTCTGAGGGAGGAGCGAGAGGCACTGTGGGCAGGCGGCTCTTGTGCAAGCTCCAGGCTGCGCTGGGAACGGGGCAGTGTTGGGTAGCAGAGCTCGAGGTCCTTGTGCTTCCCACAGCAGAGGTGATGAGGTTTGGACGTAAGGCTCCTGTGTGCCTGGGGCAACACCCGACGGGAGCGATGCCCGGAGGAGCATCAGGCACAGGTCCGTGGGAAGCGAGTGCTGCGGTTCCTTGAGCTGGGACCCTGAGGGACGTACCGACTCCTCCGAGGTAAGGCGAGATGGTGTTCCAGGCACCGATGCTGCCTTTCCTCAGACACTGTCCAAGGGCTAGTTCGAGGTGCAACAGCGGGATTCCTTCGAAGAGAAGAGCAATGAAAAGGAATGCCCCTGAAAACACAATGAAGTGCAGTTGAGCCACGTGATTGTCTGCGTCTCGCTGAAATTACTGTTTTGTAATTTGTCTGCTTTATGACCCTAACGAAGTCCTTGTGGGACGTGTTGAGCGAGGGAGCATTGCTAGGAATGCCTGCCAAGTAACATCTGTTACTGGTAATTTTGTTGGTGGAGATGTAGGGGGAAGCGCTGGGATGCTTAGTGCTGCAGGATGCTTCCCCTCAGGCACTGCTGCAGCCCATTATACGTAGCCTCGGTATTTCCTCCATTTCCCTTTCTTGTAGGCATCTTCTTTTCTCCCCCTGCTCATGAAGCACAAGGGTTTGCCTCTCCCGTATGCCATCTGTTCCCCCTTCAGTGCATCACCTCGTTTCTCTCCCGAAAGCTCTCAGGCGTGTGCTCCTCCGCCCTGCCCTGGTAAAGCAGGATTTTGTGCTGCAGACCCCCGAGAGACCAGGTTACTTTATTGCATGAAGTTCTGCTCAGGGCCTCTGGCTAATGAAAACCTTGAAAGCAAGACTGAAGTTGTTCTGTGGGCTGTGGGAGGATGAAACCTGATTTCCTCCTGATTTGCATCCTCTACGTCTTCCCCGTTTTTCTCACAGCGGCTCCCCTGGACCAGAGGCAGCCCGTGCTGCCGCCAGCCTGGCCGGTTCCTGCAAAAGGGTGTGCAACACCTCATCTCCCCTGCCTTCCCTCAGAAGGAACACAGGTTTGGGTCTCCCTCCTTTGCACAGGTACTGGTTTTCATGAGACCAGGAGAAATATCATCAGTATGTTTAAAGCACCTGCCCAAATGTCCAATTAAATGAATTAAATCTAATAGATTGAAGTTTATTGCCATGACCAACAACCACTGTGACCGCGAAGCCTCTGTTCTCTGGGGAAACAAAGGCAGAAGTCCTGCCCCAGCCCCCTCCTGCCGACTCGTACCGTCTCTGTGCTCCTCATCGCTTTGTCAATAAACCTGTGCCTTGTTACACCCTTTCACCTTTCCCTCCAAATCTCATATCTGAGCCTGCCCAGCTCTGCTCTTCCAGCTCTGGAAACTTTCTCCTCTCCCTCCTGGCAGGGAGAGCAGCTTCACCATCACCATCTGAGAGAGCAGCTCGGAGCAGCTCGGAGCTCTGCTGTCTTCGGCCCCGAGAGGGAGGTGGGGGAGTGAGCGAGGATTTCTGGTCTCTTCCTGGAACAGCTCCTGCGTTTTGCAGTTACAAATGATTTAGAAAGGCTGGGCAGATAAATCTAATCCCTTGGGTTAGGCATTGCAATAACTTTGCTACCTATTGCTAGGTGCTGCAATAATTACTTACAACACCCAGAGAAGGTGTGTTGTTTGGTGGTTTAGCCCTTTATCAAGAGATACATAGGAACAAAAATCGGCAAAGCTTTTCTCGACGAAGGACTGTTCTTCATTTGCCAAAGGTGGAAATAAACGTCTCTCCGTACGACCTGATTTCTTAAGATGTTTTAACCGCTAAGAAGCAGATTTGAAACAGGAGTCTCGCGGTTAATTCCCAGTACGTTAAATCCTCAGTACCCCAGCTCAGTAGTGCCCTTCCTTTGGGGGAGCTCTAAAGCAGCTGTTATAAACCGTAAGAGAGAGATTTACAGGGGGAGTTAAGGACCACGATAGTTTGTTTAAGTGTTTTTCCACCTGATGAAACCTCCCCTGGAACTACCTACCGAAGCCCACAGGTAAATACCAAGGAATCGCAGGTCCCTTCCGCAAGAACTCAGTACCCTCTCGCCATGCTCAGTCCTGCTCTCTCCTTCAAACCTGCTGCACTGTCCCCCTCCACAGCACACCTGAGCCCCGCCGACAGCCCCGTTCCTCGGGCTGGCTCCTGGGCAAAGCGAAGCGCTCACAGCAGCGAGGGGGGCACTGCGGTGGGAGCACTCTGCCTGTTCGCCCGGGCGGCAGCTGGGTCGCTGCAGCCCGTGCGGTGCTGAGCCCTTGCTAGCAGGGCGCTCCGTAGGGGACCCACCTATCTCCCGTATCATATCTCCCTGGAAGTAGCTGTGTAATAATTAGTGCAAACTGCCCCCGGTTATCTCTCTCCCCTCTTCTGTTTGCTAGTTGAACCATTGGCAGCAGAGCATGTTTAGATATTCTGCTGATAAAAGCCTGTTTACTTTGTGCTGGTTTGTACGTATCTCCAGTCATATTTACAGCATGGCAAAACATAATGTCACACTTGGAAAGAAAATACTGGTTTTCCATGACAACAATATGAAAATTATGCTGCCTGCAAATATGAAAATAGGGCAGAAGACTGGGCTAAGCAGAAAGTTAATGGAGCTAATGTTTCTCAAACCTAATTCAAATAAATGGCTTATAGTGTAAAAATATGGTTTCTGTTATTCATTCCTTTGCTTTACAGTATTTTTAGGTAAAAAAAAAGTCAGGAAAAGCAGAGACAGTCTGCTCAAGCACTTGAAGCTTACTCTTTTCCACAATAAAATCCCCAACCCTTATAAAGAAGAAGAATACCAGAAGGGTGTCAGATACATAATAGTGAGCTGGAACCCTCTAGCACTATATAGTCAAGGGCTCTGTTTAATACATAGGGGAGGATGTGCCGGAAGGCAGAATTTAAATACCTTTTTTTTAAAAAAAAAATGCCGTGAGGAATCTAACCATGGAAAAGGCAAGAAGGAAATCCAAGAAGCAGAATGAAGGAGCATCTGTTACAAAACGGGACATTCAAACGCAGGCACAACAAAACCCTCTCGGCACCCATATGACATGTAGCGCAAGTACAGCAGGAACTCGGTAGCTTTGACTTCCACGAGGCATGGGGAAAGGAAACCTTAGCAGAAAAAATCATGGAGTGTCAGTAAGCAAATTATTCTATATCTGAATAGTCTGGGTTTATTTATATCTAGATCTTTTAGACGCTTCACAATGAAAGAAAAATAAATGACATACATAAGAAGCAAGCCCAGGAGGGGACCTCAAAAAACCAGAAGTTTAGCTTCAGTACTTTTTTCTTCTCAAAAAAAATGAATAAAGGAAATGATAGTGATCAAGCATTTTTAAGTACCTTGAAAGCCTGGAGAAATGCCCATAAAAATCAAAAGTATCACCAGGGCATGATGTAGTTGCATCCCTGAGGCATGACATAGGAAAATTGTAGTCTACACCATTCCTTCCGTTGGAAAGATGCTCAAGATGCATAAAGCAGCCAGCCTGCAAGTAGATACATGCACTGCTAAAAGAAGGTCATGGGGGAAAGAAGTCAGTCCAAAATCTACCAGAATGAAAAGTTCTTTTGGAAGGAGATCCTGCATAGGGATACCGCAAAGCCGAGGAACAATCCCTGTGCAGATGAGAAGGCACAGAGAACCCAGAAGAGCTTTTTCAAACTAGGCTGTCGGCAGCTACAAATACTGCACATATTGGTAAGCTGGTTTCATTGACAATAGAGTCCCGAGTGACAAGGAGCACCAGCGTGTGGCACGGTCGGTGTCATTGCTAACTCAGAAGAACCTCTGGAGCGGAGATCGCTCTACAGTCATGGCAGTAGGAAATGCCTGGTGCACTCTAGATAGGCTGAGGGTTTTTAAAACCTGACCCCTCAATTGCAATGTACAGGCAAATCCGGTCAGAAAAGCAACTGCTCACCCGTATTCAGCCCTCTGCCTGCAAAATGACACTTGTAGGGCACAGCCTTTGTTATGTCACCTACTCATGACAGTCTGGAAGAAAAATGCACGAACTACTAGGCAGCCTGTTGAGAGCTGCTGGTGCACTGGAGGGCAGAATGACCAGGAGGCGAATGAAGGAGCGCAGTCTAAAGCTGAATCGTGGCAACCAGCCAAGCAGGGTGAAACAGCCAAATTGGTTTTGTCACACCTTAGAAAGAGAGAGCAATAGACCAGACTAGTGGAAATGTGAAGCGGTTTGAGGTATCAGCCAGATGACCTCTTAGTCGAGATGTACCAAGACCAGCAGAAATCGATGAGGCACAGTGAGAAGCAGAGAAGAAAACCCAATAGCTTTTCTTGATGCCGGGGTACCGATGAAGACTTCCTAAATGGTGGAGAAAGAGGAACTGATCCATGTGCTCAATATTGCGTCTCACCAGCGCCTGCAGATCGGCTAGCAGAGGTGAGGCAAGTACCTTGAACTGATGATCTGAAGGCACAAGAACATTTGAAAGGCCAGAACATGAATAATAAATTTCCTTCAGATTAGAGATCTGGGAATGGAAAAAATAGTTGTAATGAAGACTGAAATGACCTGGAAAGCAGCGAAATAGTAACTCCATCTGTAGAGTCTGAAAAACTCGGAAAGCACATCTCAATGTACGATACAATGCAACGAGAGTTCAGAGATCCACTTCACTGGTTCTGTCGGTACAGAGGAGAAACAGTGATGGGTGTGTTTTTCCAAAAGACTGAAAACTTAATAGCAGGATACCTGTGATGATTTATGTTTTACCTACAGAAATTGCAACAGGCGGTAACTACTTATTCAGATACAAAGCTATGAGCTATTGAAAGGGGATTATCAGACCTGTCCCCCTTTCTCCATGGGCTTTCAGCTGAGGAGCAAAGTAGCCAACATAGCAACAAATCACATCAAGACATCAGGTACAAAAAAAAGCATCAATTTAGTCATATTCACCCCACTCTCTGGAAAATGATGCTTCATGATCTTTGTTAGGTCTTCTGCACACCCTTTAATCCAGATGAAAAGTATGAGCTACTATAAACGTCGTGTTTGTGCAGCATACTTGTGATGGCGGTGATTTTGACCTACAGGCCACATTGCACGTCTTACAGATGCTGAAACTTTGCAGGGTTGAGTTTCCCATGTCAATGGCTGCATCTCCTTGAGCAGCAATGATGGAGCTAGAGCCACGCCCAGAGCACCGAGGGGGCCAGAGCCATTTCAAACGAAGGTGGGTAACACCTGTAGATCAACTTATAAAATAACCTTGATGAACTTCCCTATGAAATAGGGAATTGTGAAGCAGGCAAGAGAGCAGCACCCGCGTGCAAGCACACACCAACCTGAGCTGTAAAGGGCACCCAAGTACAACGACTTATGAAAGGATCGGCCCCAAATGCCACAGCTTTTCACTAAGGACTTGAGCAGGGCGTGGTAACCATCCAGAAAATGAAGTTTGTTACTTGTTGTAACATAACTAATTTTTCTGTCAGAGTAGACTGTTCTGTCTTCCCAACGTATTTGGTTTTTTACAGTATCTTCCAGGTATACCTGTTCCTCTCAGATTTTATTTTCCATCTGAGGACACAGTGAGCCAGGCAACTGCGTTTTGCAGCAGACTGCAGTTCAAATTCTAGCAAAAGGTCAGGTAGGCCACGGGTTATGAAAGTCTGTAAATCATTGCCTCAGAAGTAAACCGTTCTCCTTTTTTGCAGGACTTTAGTGTATATATGTATTTGTTTTCCTAGAAAGAAACTGTATGTTATATTAAAAGTATTTTTCGTTCATCCTGCAGGCTTGGGCACTATGCACATTTTTGATACCCATGGGTTAGGCAAGCGTATATGTACTAGCTAGCTATAATCAAAGGTAAAACACTGCAGTACGTTTCAGCTAGAACTGGATTGTTTTTTTTAAGAATACTCTGGTGACTGTGTGTGTATATATATAGCTATATGACTTGTTTGAGTCTCAGTTTTAAATGACAGACTATATACTGAGCCATTTAGAGGCTTCTTTTCAATTCCAGTTGCCCGGGAACCTTTGTGTTTGTCTCCACTTACTGTGGCAAACAACCTTCATATCCATTAGTCATGAAAAGTAAATAACTAACTTAACTCAGGCAATAAATCCAAATAATCAGTAACGACAGCGGGTGATAAATGTCAGCAAAACTGATATTTTATTAGATCTGAGTTACTGAGTAACACTAATGTGCAATGAATAAGGTCCAGAGGTCTGATGAGAACAGCTGACATGAGATAAATATACAAGATCTTATTTTTATCTCTTGTTTTTTAAAAGATCTAGGAATGAGGAAAAGTGCATTGCCCAGCCCTTAAACACTTGGATATCACCTGAACCAGCTGTGAAACTGATCTGTACCCAAGAAGCCAGTCAGCCTTAGGGCTTAGCCATACCAGTTTTCACTGCACTTGTGGCTGTGGCTGCAGGCACAGAGCCACTGCACCTCTCAGGGCTCCCAGTTAACCACCATACTGCTGCCATCTCCCATGTTCATATCTTCAGATGCACACAAGCAGGATTTATGCTCCAGTACCCCTGAAAATCTATTGGGCTTTTGCATCTGAGTTGCTTGCTGTCAAAACTGCAACCCCAAATCACATCACTGCCTTAAACTAGCAGAAGAAAGATGCAACTACCCTATACGCTGGTGTGAACCCAACAGCTCTGTCTTCCTGGTGGTGTTTGTGGCTCACTCCAACTCTTCCAGTGCCAATTTTCTGGGATAAATTACTCACAAAACCCACAGCACTTTGTTACAGGGTCCATCCTGCTGTGGAGCTCTCTGAGCCCTTTGTTAAAATCCAGTGACCAAACATTGTTCTGTACATCCATACATTGACCTTTATTTGCCACTGTCTTGTGCCACTGTTTGTAATGATGCAAAGTAGCTCTGTGCCATTGCCGAGCCCATTATCTACTTTAAACTGATTTTTTCACTGGCAAAATTACTACTCACAGAGCAAAGGAACGACTCGACTTTGTCCCTGCAGCATTTTCCTATTTTTCTTTTCTTTAAACCTGCTCTAAACCCTGCCTTTTTTGGGTTTATTGTTATAGAGAGAGTTGGCTTATTTCAGCTCCTTCTATAGTTAGAGAGCTTGGGAATATGTTGTTAATGGATAACTAGGATCCCTAGCAGCTCCTGTGGGATAGATCGGTGCTCAGAAGCTGGGTACACAAGCAAACCTTTTCTGAGCACTGTGCAGTCTGTAAGCCAGGTCGCAGTGGGTCTCCTTGCACTCAGACTCGTGCATCTCCTGGGGTGGTAGAGGTCTGTAGGCCAGGGATGCAGGGGACCCCGGAGGGGAGGGATGAAGGGGAGAGATCAAACCTCAGTAGGAGGTGAGTGCTGCTCATCTTCTGATGTGGGGCTGGGATCTGAAGAGACTGAAACACAGCCGGCCACAGCTAGTCCCTCGCCTCCAGCACGGAGAAGCAACCCTTGGTCCTTCATGGGAAGGTGCAAGAGCCACGGTCAGTAGAATAGTATTTCATCTTAGTCCGTAGTAGAGATTTGCACAAACCCCTGAAGCACAAAGTTCATGCAGCCTCATGCAGCTGGTGGCCCCAGAAGCAGCTCTGTGCAATGAGATGTGCAGAGGAGCTGTTCCCACCTGTGAGTTTCAAACCTTCCACTGGGAGCTTTGTGTTCATTGTTCGTTACATTACAAAAGTACCACATTGTGTTAGTTTTATTATGTTGTTTGGTAATACCAAATGCTGGTTGCCTTGCTCCAAGACAGAAAGGCCACCTGAGGTGCTGTAGGGTATTTGTCTGACCCACAGCTCCTGCTCCAGAAGAACATCTTCCTTGCAGGCCCCGTGCCATATCTGCTATGGGGATGTCTCTCTAAAGGTGTTTATCATGTCTCATTAACACATGCAGCATTAACTGAAGTGACAGGCTTTTTCCAGCCGTTGCCATGGGCAAACACAGAGAAACAGCATGCCTACACCTATGGCTTTCTAACCACCCGGTTAAGGCACTCCTCTGAGAGAGCTTCACTGGGTTTCACATCTTGCAAATAAATAACAGAAAATGTTAAGTCTCCTGGGAGGAATCTAACCTACTGCTTCTTCTCTTTTCTTATTTGAATTGTGTTATTTTTTCTTCCAGATGTTACATGTTCAACATTAAAGAGCTCCTTGTAACCAAATAATTTCCCTTTACTTGTTTGTAGACTATGATAAATGTACTCTTTCATTTTCAGTTTCATGAGCTGAATAGGTTGGATTCTTAAGTCATTCCTTGTCCTGTAAGTTTTCCAGCCCTTGAATAATTGTTGGTGCTTTTCTGCATTTTGTCTAATTTTTCAAGTTGACTTTTAAAGATGGACTTTCAGAAGAAGTCAGCAGTTCAGAAATTGTCTTAATATTTGTGGCAATATCTCCACCTACTTCCTAATGCTCTGCTTATATATGACAAGATTCTTCTTGTTGCTACAACCTGCTATATCTCATTCATTCAGCTACTTACCAGAGTCCCTAAGTGGCTACTTCTTTCTGAAACACCTCCTTCCGTTAAAGGCAGCATCCATTCTTGGTTCCTTGGTTAATTCAAATATATGTAGTTCATCAAGTAATACAGATACCTTGGTAGAACAAGCTTGGATTTAATAATTTTGTCTGTCATTTGACAGTTTCTCCAGGTTTGAATTTTCTGTTTCTGCAGTTAATTGAAAGATAATGGATAACGCTGGACTGAAACAATTGGTTATCTCGCTCTGATTTAGACAGCTCACCACGGCAGGTCTCAAAAGCTACAGTGAATGATGAGTGATGAAGTATTCTGTTCTGATCCATTTATAGTTACTAAATTGGCTGCTTCTAAAGCAATTCTGTGTGGGAATGGTGCCCAGGGACGGGCTGGGACAGCTATGCGCACCACCTGGCAGGCTCCTGTTGGTGTTCTATCAGCTGAGCATTTTAAACAGCCTCACAGACAGCAAAAAGTGCCATTTAGATTTATGCAGGGGCAGTTCCAGGTGATGAGGTGGCTCCTAAGAGCACCAGAGAAGCGAGGGGAACGACTTGCTCACCTTCCCAAAGGAAAGCACAGCGACCATTTGTCTGGGGGCCGGTTCACTCAGGCCTCTCCAGGACTTCTCGCTTTTCCTTAAGGTAACGACCTGCAGGTTCAGTTTCCTGCTCCCACCGGGGTCGTAGCAGCAATGTAAGAACTTTAACATCGTTTTTGCTGAGAGTTAGCGTTGGGCTGGGCTTACTTCCTAAATGAATACATCATTTTAAAATTAAATACGCTTCTATGGGAAAAGCTAATCTAACTGCCGCAAAACATTTATGAGAATTAGACAGTTACCAAAAAAAGCGATGCAAACATATAACTTCTATGCCCGTCATAGTACAGTTAACATAGCATGACATAGTACAGTTACATTAGAATTGTAGTTTAATATTTCAGCAAAGTCCCATTTCAATCTTACCGCCTCCATGAATCTGACACAAGTATGGAAATCGCCACACGTTCCCCAGACCAACGGCAAATCCGATACAGCTTAAAATATACTGGAACTTATTGTCCCACTTGGGTCTGCCATCTTCTTTAGGGATTTCAGGTGGCACTGATAAATCTTTTGACATTTTAATGAAATATCCTTGGCTCCTTAGCCCCTTTCCCTATAAATGGGAAGATGCTTCAAAACCTGTCTCTCCTACAGGTTTTATGTGGGATGACCGGAGGATCCTGGAAAGAGAGGTGGAGCTTTCTTTTCATGTGATGCAAAGGAATGTGTCATTGCCAAAGCTGCAGTTTAAAGACAAAACCAGGAATTATTGTTATAGAGAGAGTTGGCTTATTTCAGCTCCTTCTATAGTTAGAGAGCTTGGGAATATGTTGTTAATGGATAACTCAAGATCAAAGAGGTTTTTATTTTCTGTTCTCCTTCTGTTCTCAGACACTTTCAGAGAAGTGTGACACTGAATATAATTAAAAAGAAACCTTTACAGTAGACTTCTTAAAACTGTAGAATACTTTGAATCATCCATGAATAAGGTGTTGCTATTTCTTTTCTTAATTTGTTAACAGAGGTAAATGATTGAAGACATCTTCTGCAAGTGCAAAAAGTAAATTTAAAAAAAAAAAGCAATACAAATTAGAGCATGTATGTGCAGACATTAGAATTTGGTCCATTGTCACCATAGCTTCTAAAGGTTAATCCCTTTCCACCTGTCAATGAATCCCAAGTGACTATTTTATTGTTCATTAAAGAGTCACTGATGAATGCAGGAGCTGAACGCTTTCCTTCAATTGAAAGTATGTGAGAATATTTTTCTGCTGTCTTTCAGTTATACCCGGGTGTTGCTGTTTTGCACGCCAAATCAGTTCATCTCACACTAAACAGTCAGCTTGCTTCCTTCAGCAAAGCAACACTTTATGCCTGGATTCCCCTTTTCAAAAGGGAAGAGTATCTAAGTGGGGATGGATTTTTTCCCCAAAAAAATACTGAGAGAGAAATCAAAGCCCCGCTCTGTGGCTCAGCATACAAACATGCTCAGGCTGCAGACCCTCCAACCAGAAGCCAGTTTCCCACCTGGGCAACACAAGTCTCCCTCCGCAGGTAAGCCCAGATCCACAGGCCATGGAGCGACTCAGCTTCCCAGTCCCTGACCAGGGTGTCCACGCACGAGTTGGCGTGCGCCGCGTGGGTTGGCAGCACTTAGACAGCATCGCTGCTGCCAGGGCACCCACCACCACCGCCCCCTCCCTGCCACTGGGCTTCAGATTGGGAGGTGCCTTGTGCTGTGCTGGGGCCGTCCTAGCGACACCCTGATTTCCACACCTGCCACCTGCAGCCGACCGCTTCGAACTCCATTTTACTCGTTCTCGGTGGCTGAGAGTTTTCTCAGCAGGGAAATCTGACAGAAAATGTTTTCCCTATCACAGAATAACATCTTTAAATGGTTTAAATAATCACTCACATTCAAATAATTTGAAAAAATTGAAAGTGGGATGCAAATGGATTTAATCATGCAGTGCCTGGTACTTTACTCTCTATTTGAAGCAGATATATTACCCTAAAAATACACTTTAGAGTAGACGCACCCTAAATATCCCTGTTTCTTCTAAGAGAGTATTTTGATTCTAAGGGAGAGTCAGGATGTGAATTGGATCAGTTCTTGCCTTAAAAGGTGGGCATAGGAAGAGCTGCAAAGCAATACAAATGTGTTGCCTATGACAGGGACAGCTGGATGAAAGGGACCACCTCTCCAGAGGGGACATTTGCACTGGCTGCTTCTGGCATTCAGCCTGGGCGCTCTGACGGTGCTCCTTTCTCTCTCCAGAAACAGGACTCCTGACTGAGCTCCTCTGGGTCACATGGAAGTCAGAAGCTTGAAATAGGGTAGGTGTGCATGTGCCTGTGTGCCCGTGAGCTAGAGCTACCCACCTTGGTTGTGACAGATGAGAGCAAGAAGCCTTGCACCACTCGGGTGCCTTGAATCCCCCGTCAGCACGGACCTCCCAGGCAAGTGGTGGACCCCTTGCTCATGGGTGCCAGAGAAAGCAGATTTTGCCATTTCCTGAACGGCTGCTGCCCCATTGCAAGATTACCTCTTCTGTCGTCAGCAAAACCACCGCTATCTGCTGGGAACTTGGAAGTAATAGGCAATTAATAAAATATCCAGAGTTATAAATGAATCAAACTGTCATTCTTATACTTAGAAACGTTTTTATTAAATATTTTAAACTTCTGCATGAGACAAACAATATTGGTGGCTTTGTGCAACACAGTGGCATGTAAAGTAAAAACAATTTAATGTGCAAGAGAAGTCAGTATTGAGTTACCCTTCATATCGGCCACCCAACCAGGGTGATCGCACATGGAAGAGTCACTTATGGCATGTCAAGCCATGCCCAAAGAGAGAACTGCAAGCCAGCTTCAAACAAGCTGTCTTCAAAACCAGGAGGACAAACAATTTGGCCTGATGCCCCAATCACTTGCAAATGTGGCTGGTTTGTTTCCAAGATCCAAGCCATTAACGCTTCACAGTGCATTGCATTGTTCAGTAAACAAATGTTTACCTGGAAACAACACAGTTATACTTTTAGGAAAATAAAATTAACTCTGGATTCTTAAAAAAAAAAAGTATTTTTACTTTTCTCACTGACAAAGCATTCTTCTACGTTTTGTTAAATGTTTTTATGTTGAATACTTTAAGTTTCCATTAACAGAAGTCTCAGATGTGGAGATTATAAGCCCTGTACGATCATTTTCTTTCTGACAGAAATTTCGGATGGCTTTGTAGATGGCAAAGGTAGGGATGGCCAAACTTGGCACTCCAGCGAGGATTACAATAATAGCATACACCCAACCGGGATATTCAACCTTCTCTGTTTTGGGGAACTCCTCCTGCAAGAGCAAACAATCAAGTTGTAGAAAGTCATGAGGAGCAAATACCTGGGAACATGCACACATTCAATAATTCAACAGATCAAAAATATAATCAGAACAGTAGCTGGCCACAATGGCACAATTATTTGCCAATTCCACAGCAGTTTCCAGCTTGAGAGTTTCCAGTCTCAGCTGTTTTGGACTTACTTTTACCAGAGAGCAATGGAAAGAAGACGGCTTGAAAGAAGCAAGAGCCAGGAAGGGAGACTGGTGGGACTGCTCCCGGCACACTTCCCAAGCACAGAGGAGTGTGGGGCTGGGGGGGGGCTCACAGGCCACCAGGGCTTGGTGGCCAAAGAGCCTTTGGGTGGGAAGGCTGAATTCAAAGGGTGTGGGAGGGCTGAAACATTATTAAGAAGCAAGTGAGGTTGCCAAGGAGGAGAGAAGAAAGCAGTCCCATTTCCCCATCTTCCTTTCTGTCCCTTTCTGTCTCTGTCTTAAGAAAATAAAAATTCAACTTTACAAATTAGGTGTGCTGCATGACTGTTTCTGCTTTAAGGATGGTGGCTGGTGTAAGGCCGGAGAACAAAAAGCAGAGCTAGACAGGCAGGGAAGAGACAGGGTGATGGAGAAAGTTATGGGACCCACATTTTTTCTAATATGCCCCTCTGTGTACCACATACAGTTTTTTATTCTGCAAGGGGAGGAAAGGAAAAGTAGGTAACTTATTGCTGCAGTTATAATTTAAATCATAACAATACATTTGGAATGGGAAAGAAGAAATCTGGATATTAAAATTAATTAATATTAATTTCATCTGTCAGTGATGAGTAACCAGCACCAGTGCAGCTCTGTGATTTTAAATGCACGCAGAAAGAAGTGCAATATCAAAATGGCTTCACAGATTTGGTCTTTGGTCAACATAGAAAGGCTGTGACATTTCCAGCTCTTCTATATTTCCTACTGGGGGACTGACATCTGTTTCAGTCTTGCCTGACAACTGGACTAATGTTTTGGTTTTGTCCACTTTGGAAAAGCGACTCAGGTGTCGCTGTACACCAGTTGCGGGCGTCACAGCTGAACTCAAGACTTACTTTTCTAAGTGTTACTTTTTACTATTACTTTATGTCTTGCAGTAAGTTTTTTTACTGGAAAACAGTTTCAGATGGGAGATGAATGTAACTGACTATGACTCTTAGAACACGAACTAATTCTAAATAAATATTTTGGGTTTATACACTTACATAGCTAGGATCCCAAACGCTGTAGAGCAGTTCTTCATTGACTTTCACCACAAAATAAAAGAAGAAGATAACTAACATAATGAGAGGACTAATAACTCTCCAGGTAATCTGCCAGAAAATGTTTGGCTTGTGTCCAATCATGAACTCGATATCCTTGTTAAACCTAGAAACAAAAACAGGAAGTTGAGGACAGTAAAACCTGGTCAGGGCCAAAGGGTGCCTGCTCAGCCTGCCTTTGGGAAGTCCAAACTACCCCCAGCTGTGCTTCCCCGGACTTTGCTAACGTCAGTGTGAAACAAGGATTGACGACAACATCAGGAGTTAGACCTAAATAATTCAAATTAAGACGGGTAGCACTGCGATCAGGAAAATTATTTTGGGAAAGGTATTTTCTTCAAGAAGTCTGTGAAGCACACGTGAAATTTTTTCGATGAGAAAAATTCAATGCAGATGGACTTTCCTTACAACACATTGCAGTATTGTTTCAGGATTTTTTTGGTAAGTATCTCAGAGCTGCATAAATTAAAAAGAATGTCATAATATTAAAATGTAACAAAAGCAAATTGGAGTGATTTTAAAAAATATATTCTATGCATAATGTTTGCTTAATTTGGATTTCTACCAGTTTTTTCGGGTTGAATACTGAAACAATATTTAACTTTACACACTATTAAGAACACCTAAAAATGTGTTATTTGGGTTATTCACGGAACATGCAGTGGACAATGAGGCAAAAATGTCTCCACAAGAAAAAACAACCCCTGCATTGAGAGTGATACTGTCTGCATCAGTCCTGAACTGATTTATGACCTCTACATATGATGCAGCACCACGTGCACACACTTCTTAAAAAAAATAATAGTTTGGGGAGTTTGGGGCTTCTATTGTTTGTCATCTTGTCTGTCTTTCCTGTGTATTCTATGGGGGCAAGTCTGAGGGGACTATTCGTTTGGTCCTACAGCTATGAACAACACACAGAATTCATCTGAGTCTCAACTACTACGTAAATTTATTTTATCTTTTCATCCCTAACTTCTAAGATCTAGGTATGATTCTTAAAATGATTTGGAGCCCCATATCCTGCCTGCAGAGCCCGCCCAGGTGTGGTTCAGCTGATTGTCATGGATAACACACAGGTTCTCCTTCAAGCAGGAGAGCCATCTTTTTACCAATGACCCTTTCTCAGAAGAAAGTACCAGAAACTCTGGAGCAGATAACACTACCTTTGGGCAGCCCTGATAAGTTCTGTACTCAAAGAGGGCTACAGCCACGTGTACTGGCCAGGAACATGCAAGTTCAGTGTGACACTCTCTTCTGAATCAATCCCCATACCTCTATGGCCCAAGCCCATGTTTGTGTCCTGGGAATAGTTTTCATTTGACTTTGTAAAGTCTTCTGAGATTTTAAAGGGGAGGAAAACTGATCGACACAGACTTTTCTGTCCTTAACAAAGTTAAAATAAGCTTTTTTTTTTTCTCTGAGGTACTCCCGCTGCTTGTCTAATTTACCTAAGTTGATTCATGCCTCCTGAGGTAATAAAAAACTTTAAGTATGGGAATATGGGCTACAAGGACATTCACCCCACTGGCAGGAGCAGCACAGCTGGAGGGTCTGGCACAGGTTCAAGCAAAACTTATGAGTGACCGAAGTTCCCATGCTTTTTTCATATTTCTTACATATTAAATACAAACAGAAAGATGGCAAAATTTGATTTATTACATCTCTAGAAAGTTGATAGGATAATTACTCACTGTTACAACTGATAAAATCCTGAAACTATCAGCTAAGAACGTATCTCAGTAGCCTTGGATTTACACTGTGCTATAAAACAGTATCTGCAGCCTGCCTGGAAATCCCCACTTCGGACAGCACCACATAGCATTCACCTAAACCACTCCTGGGACATACCTCTGTTCTAAACTTTCAGCTCAGTGACAATGTGCTTGTACTTTGCTTCTGCTAATTAAATATTTAATCCAATTGTCCTGAAGAGGATTTATTGTAAATGTCACCATATTTAAAATGTAAATGAGCTGCAGTGGCACTTAGGTAACTGTTGCAAATATGTACATTCTGATGCCTACTTGAAAAACAAATTACTTCCACTCGTATTATTGTACTCTAGGGCACTTGCTAATGCTTAATATTTTCTTGTGATATCTTAGGGATGTGTTTATTTTAGCTGGTCGTTATAGAGCATTATCTATTATAATGCATCAATAAAGTGGAAAGCTTTCATGTTCAAATAAAAATTCCCACTGCACTTTTAACAAGCATTTTTTCATATTGTTGAGAACCCTTTTAGACACCTAAATTATATAAGCAACCCTAAACTACAGTTGCATATTTTCAGCGATTTCTACAACGAAATTCTGTGCACTGAGCTTGCAGCTGTACAACTAACCGATTTATGCACTAGTTTCCAGTAATGTTTAACTTCTGTTTCATACCTGTTTATTCCATAGATGTAGACAACTGAAAACATCTCAAAAAATGCAATTATTAGCAAGGGAATAGAGCCAGCAAAACTGTCAAATAGAGCCAGCCAGTAATTACCAGACTTCAGCACAAAAATAAAAGCTATCAAGTAAGACCCCGCACAAATGAGACCTGTGAAAAAAAAAACAACAGCACATTTAGGCAAAGAAAGCAAAAGAAAAAAAAAGTAATATCTTTTCCCTGTAGCTAGAAAGTTTTATAAGTAACTTTTAATGCAGTTGCAGCCTGAAGGTAACCACTTTCTTTTTTGATGGTACTCTGAGAACGCCTGCTTCTGTGCAGGTAAAACGGCAAAACTCTCCTAACATTGCACATGTGGGAGATGCTGCAAACAAAACGGGAGAAGGCTGAGGAAAGCAAAGCAGTCCTCTTCCTCCTAGTTGGTGGGACAACGTTGCACTGAGAGAAATCCTGCCTGGGTGAAGGATGTGCGTCCTGCAGCTTCCCAGTGGGTGATAATCATCATGGTAACCATCACGAGGAGGCTGACGGGCAAGCCAGGGGGTGAGCAGATGCCTGCAGGCTCAGAAGGAACCTCACAGGAGCTGCCCCTCTGGGGGACACGAGGAAACCTTCAGTAGGTTATCCAGGAGTCAGGACCATGCCAGATCAGAAAGTAGGTGGGTGGTGGGTTGATTTTTCAGCACACAAGCTATTTCCTGGGGAGGGGGGAGGTCACTTGTCTCAAAAAAAACACTTACCAGTAACAAGTTCCTTAGGCACTTTGGGGGGTATAATCTTCAGATCTTGTAAAGGTACGAGCACACCTTCCATATTTCCAAACATAGATGACAAACCCAAGCAGAAGAGCATGATGAAGAAGAGAATGGACCATAAAGGCGAGACAGGCATTTTGGTAATAGCTTCAGTGAAAACAATAAAGGCTAGGCCAGTTCCTTCAACTCCCTGTGGAAGATTTCAGAAGCTCCAAAATTAGGCTCATAGCTCCAAAATTAGGCTCATTAACATTGAGCAGCACTCACATTTGCATTGGTGATTGCTAGACTTAGCGTATGCTGCACCACACCACAATACTTACACTTTTTGCTTCCACAAAGGACTTCTAATGCAGCAAAATGTTTACTGTAATTATAATACAAATTCTGTCTCATGGAATGTTATGGACACCTATTTTTGCCTGTAATTCACCACTTTTTTAACCCCAAAAAAAGGTGGACCCATTTAATTCTTCTTGTAACTTTTTTCACCCCAGTGTCAAGGTCCATTCTTTCTGTGTTGTGACACGGTGGTACTGGTCAGGACAGGGCTTGCCCCAGCTGCTTCCTCGCTCTGGGAGTCTCTTCCCTAGTCATCTTGTCCCACCATGGCTGCAACCAGCTAGTTCCAGAGAAGTACTTGCTGCTATTTTGCCAGCTACACGAGGCCAGCCTAGAACATTTGTGGGTTTAGTTACTAGTCTGGCAGATTGCTAATACTTTTCAGAGGAATTAGAGTTTATCTCTTCAAAGGCAAAATGGGGTAAACAAAAGTAATTCTTTGGTCCAAAAGCACTCCAAGTCAATTGCAGTCAACCAGTGGAAATACATAAAAACCCAACAACCTCAGAAGAAAAATGATTAGGCAATTAAAAAACTGATATGTGTTCCTACCGTATTTATGGTATTGATGTGAGTCAGGGTGTTAAACTTACGTCATTCAGGAAACTTTCCAGATTACAGGATTCAAACTTCAGGCTTGCAAAAATTGTCGGATCAGTCATGTTACATAGCTGCTGCATTTGTTCAAAGTTATCTTGGGTTACATTGCCTTCTGGCAAATCAAAAGCATTCATCAGAGTAAGGATATTTCTGAAAAAGTGAAATACCAGTAACTTGAAATTATTTATTTGTAAGCGTCCTCAGGATTCGTTTTCATCATCAAGCAAGTTATTAAGGACATGATGCCTTTTATAAAGAC